CAGCACTGTAATTCCATAGCTTAGCACGTCGTATATGCCCTTCGGGAGGCGAGATGGTGGACTTGATCCCCATTATCTAGACGTAAAATGAATACCAACCAACCAACCAACAGCTGGTCGCGGAGAAGCGAGGCCGTAGACAGAGGGCATGTTCCCAACTCCTGGTCTTGAAAGTCCGCGCGATACTGGCGTGACGTAGCTGGAGGTGTTGCAGGTCAGACTTCCGTCTCAGTCTTGGCTCGACCATGGTCTGTGGCGTGCGGTGCGGGCGCACCTCAGTCAGCACATGCTGACCTCAACGACTGCGCAACTCTTCCTCGGTCGTCAACAGGCACATACATCTCGACCTTCCCCAGTCAGGAGCTGCTGTCCTTCAGCAACACTATTTTGAAGATATACACAGCATCACCGAACTTCCTCCGTTGTGAAGGGCTTGACTCGCAAGTCAGCCTTGTAGACGTCCCCGGTCTGCAAACCATCAGGCCCCCACAATGGAGCCGTATACCCGTTACCTCAGCCCAGCATAGCCGCACGTGAGCATCTAGAAGCCTCAAGTCTCATTCACAGGTCAACAATGGTGATCGAATGCAGGCCATTTTCGGCAAGATGGTGCCACCGCAATACCAGGGACCATGGTCTGGTACTGAGGCTGGGTCGAACGATGTATTAAATCATTGCTCGCGCACTATCACCGGGGCAGAACAACGACGATTTCATGGAGCAGCATCTTGGGTTCCGACTACAGTTCACGCCACGACATCAAACTCGTCCTCCGTAATTGAAGAACAACTACAACAAAGCATATCAACAAGGCAATCTCGATTGTAACGACAAACGATCATCACCATGCCATGCACACGTCTTCTCGCAAGAGCATACTACAGCAACTCAAACAGTCCCAACTCGAACAAGACAGCTATCGTTGTCGGTCTCGTCTGCGGCGTCCTCGCCATCGGCATCGGCATAGTAACCCTCATCTGCTGCAGCAACCGAAGCACCCGTCACGGCCCCGAGTCCCTCGTTGCACGCTCGCAAGAGCTGCGTCGCGAAAACAACGGATGGTGGGGCGCAGCTCCACCTCACTACGAGACAGCAACAGAGCGAAGGCGCCGAAATCTTGAGATAAGAGCAACTATGGGCGGCGGGAGTGGAATCGCAAGAGGAGCGAGAAGCGGAAGGGATGCAAGAGAGGGAGGGCCAGCACCGCCTGAGTATCAAACGCCTGCGCCGGCTTGCCGTACGGGACGCCGACAACTAGTGCCTTCACCTCTGCCACAAGAGAATGATGCGCCACCGGCTTATGAACCGCGTGCTGTCTGGCCGACCGGTGTACACGCGCCTTGAAATTAACTGCTTCTGTCAGGCGTAAAGCAGTTTAGCGAAGGGACACAAGATCCATGAGCGTGGGCACCGAGATACTTAGGGCTTCGTTCGGGCAACAGTTCAACATGAAATGCAGATCAAGCTAGAGAGCAATTGATAAGGCAGAAGGCGGAACAATGCCTGGCACAGACGTGCTGGCAGCGGTACCGAATAGCGTTGTCGAGCTTTTCGATATGCAGAGACAATTCGCAGGCTGAGGAAGGTGCCATGGCCACGTACTAAACTGTCATGAGCGTTCGAGCAATTCACCGGTGCTCTCAAGACCACGATGTCTCATACAACGTAACCTGAATTGCTGTTGTAGAGCATATGGAGCGACCGACCGAAGATTTTGAAACATTTCCGATCAGAGAGCAGTTTGGAGGGGGCTGGGACTGAAGGTAGGTGTTATTTGTTCGAAGAATAGCTCCAGATACGGAGTTTGCATTACTTCAACGCGACTGAGCACAGTAACTAATAAGATCGCTCATCGTTGCATCATTTCCAATCTGTCACTAACTCCTTGCAACTTGTAGACAGGCCTATATCACATTCTCCAATCTCATACACCACAATGCGAATAGGGAGAGCGTATAAGCTCTTCGACCCACTCCAGCATCAATGTATTTATGCAAGGGGAGCAGTCTGATCCGGACGGAGCGCACATCCAGCGTTCTTGAAGACCGGATTGAGCTTGCCAACAGACCAGTTGAGAAGCGAGAGAGGCAAAGTAGTGACAACCGACAAGCTGGAAGGCACCGGCTGAGTACCAAGCTGGTACAACAAGCAAAGAAGGTCGGAGGCAGTAGCAGCGTCGGGAAGCTTGCCGTCGCGGATGACGCCGAAGGGAGAAGACAGAGCATCGAAGTTGTTGGTGCCGACATTGCCGCCGAACAGCTTGGGATACTGGACGTACTGGGCTAAGATTTCGAGGGTAACATCGTTGTTAGTATACGACGTGCGGCGATTAAACCAGTTGTCTGGAATACGCTCAGGGCCTGCCTGCCAGTTGCCGTTGGAATCCTGGGTGGTGCCAAAGAAGGAGGAGATAGTCTTAAGATCGGCAGTGCCCTCTGGACCGTAGCTGGCGAACAGCTCGTATAGGAAGGAAGAGGCGCCGTAAAGCAGAAGAGCCAGGGGACCAAAGAAGAAGTTGGGATTCTCCTGCACGGACTCGTCGTAGCGCTGGCTGCGGTATGCCGCGAGGGTATTGCGATCGAAGTTCCCACCTGAAACACGGTCGGCGACATCCTTCATCCTCTTGAACAACGTGCCGTTGAAAGAGTAGTTGTCGCCGTTGTGGGTGAAGTAGTCGTTTCGGGTCAGCGATGAGTCGCCCTCGAACTTGTTGTGTCCGTTCAGTCCGGGCTGGCGGCCAAGAACACCTCCAAGGGTGGCAGTGCGGGATGTGGCGTCACAGCCAATGCTGAGCTTGCCGGTGAGAATGTCACCATCGGCAACGACACCGAGGGTTGCCAAGAGCGTAGCAAGGTCCCAGTCAACATTATACAAGTTCTGTTGAGCATCGACGAGCTCAGTGAAGGTTGTGATACCATCACGAGCAAGGAAGTTGTGATTGGCAGCCGCATTGAGACCGGGACAAGGACCACGGATGTCGTTTGGCCCAGGAGCCTGGAAGGCGTGTGCGGTGTCTCCGTCAGCGGGGACCTTGATGCCTCCCTTACCTGTACCGCGAGCACCATTTCGTGCGCCGGTGTAGGGGTACTGGCTGTTATATGGAGCCGCAGGCTGGTGGTTTGAGTTGAAGGGGCAGTTGTCTTGCCTCTTCACATTGCGGTTACGGGGGAGCAGAGATGAGTCAACGCCAGGCTGGTTGGCAACCCATGGGTACGCTGAGACGGCGGACGCCGAGAGTAGGAGAAGTGAAAGAGTCTGCATGTTGAAAAGCTGAAGCCGCTCACTGAAAAGTGTTGTATAGCTTCTCCCTGCCTTGGAGATAGTATTGGAACTGATGATCTATACGATGTGGAGGACGTGGTCCTACTTATACAATTGTTCATCTTGCTTCGCTCTTGGTTCCACATTGAAATGACCGAGGCAGATCTGCGCATTTCCATGTACTCGACTACCTGCAGTAGACTACCCTCAAATCCACAGTCTATCATTGGAGGACGCAATACGGATTGACCCATTGCACACGCTGCGGCGGCTGATCGACGTACCCCATGGGGAAGATCCTCCACTCCACTCATAGTCCTGTCGGTAGATGTGCTAGTGGCAGGATTACCCCGGAAGTTGTGGAGGTAGAACCAGAGATGTGTGTAGTTGGTCTGTTGCCGAGCGGAAGGTTTGCGCTCCGCGCCTGCGCTAACGCACCGGTGCTCTCAAAACAAGAAAGGTTCCTGAAGTTAGTACGGTACTCGACGATCTTGTACCCAGACAGTAGGTATCGGCGTGACGAATCAGATATGGCGGCGTGCAGAACGACATTATGCTCAATGGCGCGTGATGTGAGTTCAACACCGAAGAAGACCCTGGTTGCAGTTTTGAGCCAAGATTGGCGTCGCCTCCCCAATGAATACACATGATTCTGTCTCACCAGGCTAACTTTGTGGCAGAAGCAAGTGTAGTTTCTGGTAGACGGCGATCGGAATCGTGCTTCCATCATAGCGCACCTCCAGCGCACAACTCTCACTGGTTGGGCAGCTTCCGGTCAGGTTTCCGCATTCGCATTGCCAGCTGTTAGCGTCTGTGTAGTGTTCAAATTGACTTGTAGATATACTAGGAAAGCCTCGGTATGATTCATGTACGTTGGAACTGGATTGCGCTGCTACGGGTGCAAATACACCTGAGGTTCTGGTCTTCGCTCGTGCGTGTTCCATCTTCGGCGACCATGACTTACAAAGGTACCAGGCGCGTGGCTTTCAGATTCGATTTTCCGGATGCGAGCATGATTTGCAAATCTTCGTCTTTGTTCTCACTTGCGCGACCAGGTCGCTGGAGTGAGTCCCAGAGCTCTGCGGAAATAACCAGGAACTATCCCAATGCAGAAGTGGGTGCGACACATGATTCACTCGCCAGGTGACGGCCGGAACACCAGGGTTTGTAGACTAGAGTGGTCTAGGAAACAAGCAGTGCGGCCTCGGCAGGTGGTAAGTGGTGTTCTGGCCAGCTCGATACACTGAGACAGGGGGCGGTGGGTTGCAACCTGCCAAGGACTGTGTGTAGTGTTAGTTACACCCCGTGGTCTCAACCGCTGTAGTTGGCTGGTATCAAATTTAAAACTATTTTGCTCCGAAACCGAGGCTCATCGACGACGCCAGATGTACATTCGCTCGTAACTGTAGGATGGAAATATGTGCGCATAGTAGGTTGACATTGCACTTGGCAACGAAGCTTCCCTTCACCATTCACGTCAAGGGCAAGGATGCTAGACAACATTTCGTACGAGGCTTGATGGTTCTTCTGAGAGAGGGTCAGAGGTGTATTCCCGTATGCAACTGCTGCCTGTCTGTCTCGAAGCCAGTCACTGACACTGAGCGATGTGTAGGTGAGTTGACGGCCTCGCTGAGCTTGATGGAAGCCGAGGTTTGTTCAATTCTGGAGGTTCGTGCTGCATGCGCAAGCATTGACCAAATTGTCGCTTTCGAAGCTCAAAGTATTAAATTACTGGTGTTGTAGCTCGGTGTGAGTAACGAGATCCTGGTCGAGCGACTGCAAATTATCTCGCTCAGGGAGCCAGATTCAGAATAAGGTGGCAAGCGAGAATATTGTCTTTGTAGAGCTTCGCGCCATGTTCGTGATCATCAACCTTGCTCTTGGTTCCATGTTGCCATACATTGGTCTCGGCAATGAGGTCGACAACGGTGGCGGCAGAAGGACTCGGTCCAGTAACGCCGTTGTACCGGTACCTAACACGACCTAGATCTGTCCAATAGCTTGCTCGCCCTCGGTAATAACAAATACCTGATACGTTGGCAGTTTTCTACAATCGGTCCTCTCTAATTTGGTATCGGCATCTCGATTACTTCGCCGCTGGCTGACTACGCGACTGCTGCACATATTATTGAAAGCTTGCATATAGGGCAACGAAGCACGGGAGACATGCTGAGGCACGTTACTCGACCACCTGGTTAGCTTTGCTGTGACGATAGAGTTTCTTTTAAAGCCACGTCGTGTGCGACAAACACAACACCAGCTCACGAGTCTGGTAATGGTGATGCCTTGTGCGTTGGATTGCATGGGGGCGTAATAGGTAGAATCACTTTGATGCCATTGCTGAGCGATGTCACCTCGGTAGAAAAGTCATTGCAAACACTTTCAGCATTCAAGAGCAACTCGGGGGCGGGGCTGCAGGAATGTCAGTTGCAAGAGATGAGATGCTCCGTTTGAAGGCGAGTCTCATTGACCCGCGGATGGAAGGTAATCTGATGGGACTACATATCCAAGCAAACAACGCTAGAACCCAGGATGCGGATATACCCAAGCCAGAACACCGTATCGAGACACAAAAACCCGCCAATTCATCAAGCAGGTTGCTCACTGACCAATCACCTTCTTCCTCTGTTTCTCAGCCCACTCACGCGATGCAATCCTACCTCGCTCTGCAGCCTCAGCTCGCGCCCTTTTGGCGGCTTCTTCTTTTTCCCTCCTCTCGCGCTCCAAGGCTTCTTTTTCCATTCTGTCCCGATTGAAAACGTGCTTGCCCTTGACCTTGAGCGCAGCAGCATCGAGGGGAGTGACTGTTGATTTGCCGCCTTCGGCAAGCAGAACACTGTTGCGGTTCGCTGACGAGGTGGACGTCGAGCGCGAAGCGGAGACATCGATGATGCTGCTGCGCTTGCTGGCAAGAGAAGTTGAGCGCTGCGGAGCATCAGACTGCGGCGGAGGCAGGATGCTGATGCCCGGTGCGTCTCTGACTAGCAGTGAATCTCGTGGTCGGTGGGCGATGTGTTTCCGGACTGCTGCGGCTGCGGCTGCTTTCTTCGCAGCTTCAGCTTCTTCCATGCGCCTCAAGCGTTCTTCTTTTTTTGCCTTGAGGCGTATTGCAGTCGCTTCGCCTGGCAGTTGGAAGCTGGGCTTGGTAAGTTGCTTCGTCGACTTGGGTGGTGGGGGCATGCTAATCGGTCGTGAAGCAGGCTTACCCACGCCCCCCGCTTCCTCCATGCGCTTCAGGCGCTCTTCCTTTTGAACCTTGAGCTTTGCTGCTGTCGCCTCGCCAGGAAGCTGGAAGCTCGGAATTGTAGTAGGCTTTGTCGATTTGGGCGGTGGTGGCATACTGATCGGTCGCTGCTTGGGCGCAGCTGTACCTTCTGCCTCGCGCTTCAGACGTTCCTCCCTCTGCGCCCTCAGCTTCGCCGCTACATTGTCGCTCGACAACTGGAAAGTCGGCTTCGTTGGTGCCCTGCCTTTCGGCGGAGGCGGGGGTGTAGGAAATGATAGACTGATAGGGCGACGCTTAGATGCCAGATAGTCAGCTGTCTCTATCAAAGGCTTCCCAATATCCTTGCCTGGTACCGTACAAACACTGGACGCACGGGCGAGTGACGTCATGGTAGACTCAACGCTCTTAGGGGCTGCACTTGGTACTCTCGAGATCCTTGTAGGAAGAACTGGCTTGACAGTAACTGCTTTTTTGGGGGCAATTGACGCTCTGGCAGCAACTGGTGCCCTAGTGGGGATGGGTGCCTTGGCTGGTATCATACCAGGCTTCATGATTTCAACCTTGGCCGGAGTTCGAGCAGAGGCTTTGGCAGACGTCTTTTTTCTCGTGGTTGACGCTGCAGAAACACTCTGTGACGGTGATTTTTTTGGAGAGTGTTCCTCATCAGAGTGATCGAGATCCGGAATGACTTTGCCGATAGATTCGAGATCCTCTTCCAGTCTATCAATGGCTGAAATAGACTCCTCGAGACGCATTGGAGACCTGGACAGGCTTCTTGAAGTGCGTCTGATGGACCCTTGATTCTTGGTCGGGGTTGATACAGTCCCTTCGAATGGCTTCTCAGCATGCAGCATCTTAGGCTCTGCTTCTGGTACAATCTCGACAGAAGGGATGGCCTCTTCAGGGACTACGCTGTCAACCTGCATATTGAAGTCTGTCTCGAAATCATCTGCTGTGGATGTTGCTGGCCTGGCTTCATGGATGATCTCCTCCACTCCAAAGGCCTCAGCAGCCTCGGCCTCGACAGCTTGGACCTCTGATGTCATTTTTTCTTCAACAGCCTGCACTCCAATCTGAACTGACTCGTCTTGCGGTTCTGTCACCCCTTCTTCTTGTGTACCCAACGGTTCTGTTGCAACCGCCGGTGCAACGTCCTCCATCTTGTCTATCTCTCCGTGAGCGGGCTTACCAGATACCATATGTTTTTGCTGAGCTGCCGCTTGAGCCTCAGCCTGCGCTTCATCTACTATCTCTTCGAGCACCTCCTCTTCGGTTGGCCCGGGTTGTGGTGTTTGCTGCTCGACCTGCGCTTGCTTCTGTTCCTCATCGAGCTTTGCTTGTTGACGTCGTGTGAGTCGGACAGGTTTCGGCGTTAGTTCATGCTCGACCTTCTTGATCTGTTCCATCACCGCTGGTGTTCCATTCTCCACAACAATATTTGCTGCTTCGACAGGCGCCTCAGGCGCTTCGGACACTTCAGACGCTCCAGATTGTTCTGTGGCATCTTGAGCGATTGTCTTTTCCGGCTGCTCCTTTTCGATTTTTACTTGTTGACGTCGTGTCCGTCTTGTAGGCTTTCGTGCTGTTTGTGGTTCGACCTCGGCATGTTCCTCGTGTGCTGCGAGTGTCTTGTTCTCCACGGGAGCAGCATCGGCCTCCACTTTAAGATCGACTTCAGCCTGCTCCACTCCTTCGCCGGCGACATCTTCGTTCCTCTCTTCCGGCTGAGGCGAAAGCACGCGATGTGATTTGCCAGGTGCTTCTTCCTCCTCAAGTTTCGCTTGCTGGCGGCGCGTGAGTCTAACTGCTGGCGTTTGCGGAACATCAGGCTGCTCGTCGCCGTTGTGAGCTGGGGTAGTATCTGAGTGTATGTTAGTTACTGGGATCCCATTGTCATGTTGCAACAGGGGTCAGTCACTTACCGTCCGTGTGCTCCTGGGCTGGTTCTTGCCCCGCAGCTTCGTTGATTATTGGGCTTGCGGCTGCTTGTCGCTCTGCCTCCCCAACGACTTGTACCGCCTCTCCCTCTGACTTCGCCTTCTTACCCTTGGCGCCCTTCTTCCCCTTGCCTCTCCCCTTCTTTGCTGGCGTCTTCGCTGGTGTCTTTGCAGACAGAGGCTCTTCAGTCGGTGCTGCGGGTGTTGCGTTCGGCTCAATGTCCTTCAAAGCGCGTTCGCTGACCTCGGGTGCCGCGACGTCCTCCTCCATGTCCTCCTGGGCGCGTTGCGCAGCGCGAGTGACGCGCATTGTGGTTGTTGATATTCAAAAAGGCGTGTGCGTATGTAGTTTAGTGTGGTCGAATGGGCTATGCACAAGTTCGAGACATATGGGCGACGGGGGACTGGCAGGGGCTGTCGATAAGATTGGCGATAGTACCTAGTGATCCTTCAGGCGATCGTTTGCGTGGCAGCTGTGTTTCGATAAACACCCTTCCTCATCTGGACTAACTCCACACTCCGCGAACTTCGGAAAAAGCGTCACGTGGTCACAGCGTCGGAGATCGAGGGCGTTGTCAAAGCCATCTGCCGGGTAGCTGCGAACTGCATTCGGATCCGCTCCCGTGCACCTCCTCGTCCACTACCTACTACTTCTGCTGTGATTTCGAAATTTTCAGGTGAAAAAGCCGTGTAGACTTCTCGCGCTCATTGACAAATCTGCAAAGTCGTCACGATTGTGATCCAATCGGCGCGCCCCTAACACTCTTTCGCAAAGGCGAACTCGACCTCAGAGGACCTCAACTGTCCTCAATTGGTGCGGATCTCAGGGGATTGTTCATCTCTTCGTGTATCTGCACGAGGCTGACAACCGGCACTGCTCCCGGCAATCTTCACATCTAGCGATATCTCCGAGACCGGCAAGCTGGCTTACCCCGCGAGGCAGTTGTTGCGTCCCTTCAGTAGCCGGAGCTACCCCACCATATCTAGAATGACCTCACGGGCGACGGCGAACTCCCGCCTGAATCTTTTCTCTAAGCACCTCGACTCCAAGCCATTCCTTGCGTTGAACACACCATTCTCGACCGAACGCAGCGGACATCTTGAAGACGCCCAAGGCAATCGCATCCAACGCAACAAACCCCAGGAACTCAAGAAGTCTGTACCGAAGGAAGAAGAACCACCCAAGATGGCTTCCTCCCAGGCTCCCCACCCAGCTCTTATGATCCCCGGACCTATCGAGTTCGACGATGCTGTCCTTAATGCTATGAGCTTCTATAGGTATGTTCCGTGGCTCAATGTCATTGGGGATTACATGCTAAGATGACATTAGCGAATCGCACGTTGGCCAGCCATTTGTCAACTGCTTCAGCGAGGTCCTCCAGAACCTCCGTAAGCTCTTCCAGACCACCGACCCTGCCTCGCAACCCTTCGTTATCTCCGGCTCCGGCACACTTGGATGGGACCAGGTCGCCGCCAACCTGGCTGAGCCTGGTGATGAGGTCCTCGTACTACACACTGGATACTTTGCCGACTCGTTCGCCGACTGCTTCGAGACCTATGGCGTCAAGGTCACACAACTGAAGGCACCCATTGGCGACCGACCCCAGCTCGATGAGGTCGAGAAAGCCCTGAAGGAGAAGAAGTACAAGATCCTCACAGTCACACACGTTGATACATCAACTGGTGTGCTCAGCGAGCTCAAGGCATTGAGCGATCTGGTTGAAAAGGTCAGCCCTGAGACACTGCTCGTTGTTGACGGAGTTTGCAGTGTTGGATCTGAGGAGATTCGCTTTGACGACTGGAAGCTCGATGTTGTCCTCACAGCATCACAGAAGGCCATTGGATGCCCTGCTGGTCTCAGCATCCTGGTGGCATCTGGGAAGGCAATTGAGGTCTTCAAGAACAGGAAGACAAGACCTACATCTTATTTTGGTTCATGGAAGAACTGGCTACCGAGTAAGTGCTGTTATGAAATCCAGTTAGCTAGAAGGGCACTAACAATGCGGCAGTTATGCAGAACTACGAGGCCAAGAAGCCTTCCTACTTTGCCACGCCATCGCCTCAGCTCATCCACGCTCTCGACGTAGCACTTAAGCAGATCCTCTCGCGCCCTCTGGAGCAGCGCTTTGCCGACCACAAGGCTGCATCACAGAAGATCAAGAAGGCTGTCGCAGACTTCGGCCTGAAGCAGCTTGCCTCGAAGCCCGAGAACCAGGCCAACGGCATGACCGCCATCTACCTGCCTGAGGGCGTCACACCGCCCGATGTCCTGCCCAACCTGCTGAAGAAGGGCGTCATATTCGCTGGTGGTCTCCACAAGGAGATCGCTACCAAGTACGTTCGATGCGGACACATGGGTGTCAGTGTGACAGACCCCAACCGTGCGGACATCACAAAGGCCATTGAGAGCTTGAAGGAGGCATTGACAGAGGTCGGCCACAATGCCCAGAAGTAAGAAATAAGTCAGATATTCTGTATATACGTCACACGGCTAGATAAAAAAAAAGATCGGGTGCAAGCAGACGCTGTGTCGATAAATCTGCCGAAAATAGCACCGCACTTTTAGTTCCATCCTTCGAGCTTTGCAGTGATGATGAGCCTCGTGGCTATGCTCGCACCCGCACCACCAAGCCTGCAGGCCTGCTCATCAAGTACCAGGAACGGTCTCCGCATCATTCGTGTGATTTGACAATGCGCCTTTGGTTTTCACGGCCAAGCTGCCTAGCACAAGCTCGCGGCTTGGTATATTATGATTATTCCCGCTTCGGCCTACGACACCACGACATCGCGATAATGATGTTGCGTTGAGATGCGGAACTACCAGTTCGGCACTTGCGGCGAGGCTGTGCTTGCTTGGTATGCTGTGAGGTACATCACCTTGATGATCCTAGATGGCGATGTTGGTGTCCTCCCATCTCTTCGTGTCCGTCGGCAACCACCGTCTGCACTGACCATTCGTTCACGTATTGACAGTCTTTTCCAAATTTTCTCGTCGCGCCCAAGTCAAAGACGCTTTTGTAACACCGTTAGAGCCATCATGGCGTCAACAACGCGCCCCAACCAACAAGCCTGGGTCACAGCCTTCGCCAGCGCCCCACCATCCGCCTGCGCAACTCTCCGCGCCCTCAGCAACACGGTAGAATACGGCGTTCAATGTATCTTTGCAGAAGAAGATGACGACACACTGCCAAACTCAATTAATACAGCCTGTCTACCTTGGGCTACAGCCGGCATCCCTTCGAGTGCGGCATTCTACTCCCCTGCCACTGCATGCCCCACATCTTGGACCGCGGTCGCGACTCGTACAGCAGCTGGTGGTGCGAGTGACTGGATCGATGGCGAGACAGCTCTAGAGTGCTGTCCACCGGGGTTCGTGGGCGGAGGTGGAGGGTTGTGTAATCCGGAGACGAGTGGAACAACGTCGGTTGTTAGTTGTGGTGAGGCGGATGCAGAAGAGAACGAAAATATGGTTTACATCGCGGGGCAGTGGCCGGCGAGTGTGAGCGTGAGGGTTACAGCATTGCAGCTGAGGTACCAGGCTACTGATACTGGGGGTACGGCAAGTGCGACAGGCAGTTCGAGTTTGAGTACTGCGTCGAGTACGAGTGGTTCAGGGGCCGGAGCTGGTAACGAGGGTGGAGGGCTCTCAACGGGCGCGAAGGTGGCGATTGGGACTATCATTCCTCTGGTATCCACACTCGGAGCCTTGACTGCGTTTTTGCTGTGGCGGAGGAGAAAGCATAGGAAGGCTGCTGCGGCGATGTCGAAGGAATTCGCAGATGGACACGAGACAAAGCGGAGCTACGAGAAGGTTCCTCAAGAAACCTTTATCAATTCGAGTATTGGGTCGGAAGACATTTCAGCTACCACTGCAGGTGCCGCTGCGGCAGTTCCGGCAGTAGCTGTCGTCGCGCAGAATGCTCATCATGAAACTCCAGAGTGGAACGCAGAACTCGATGCTACCGAGGCTGAAAGAAGAAGGTACATGGCGGTTCAAGGAAGCTTGTTTCCACCTGCAAGCGGTGCCAAAGCCGATGCGTCAAGCCTGGGCGGCGCGAGCGAAGCCAGCGAGTTGGGTGGTATGATGAGGGTCAACAGAAAGCCTATTGCGCCTGTTGAACTTGATTCGATGCCTGTGACGAGTGAACTGGCTGGCGGAGGGAGTGCAGAGCGAAGATAGGAAGAGTTTTTATGAATGATACCCATGTTTCTTGTTACAAATACGGTTTGTACCTGATTGTAACCGAGTATGTTTCAGTAACGATCTCCTTCTTGCTTCAATCACAGGCTGCCTTGCTAGGTACCGTGTCTGTGCGCGTGATGCCCCACTCGCTACTTGTGTCAACAGCGTCATGATCCGCCTCCAAGACAACCAACATCACTTTCGATAATTCGGAGCATGCGCATACTCTTCGATGAGCTGAAGAGATTCTACTTCGAGCTCATTACTACAATTGTTCCCGGTCCAGCTAGTTGGAGCTATCTTGTACCAATTCTACTCTTGCCACTGGGGCTCCTTGTACCGCCTGCAACATTGAGCCATGGTCAGCTGTGTGCGATCATCCTGCCCATCAGTGTCGTGGCTACTGTACACGCGTGGATGATAATGGGCGCCAACGACGTCATCTCGACAGATTCGCTGTACTTGACACTGTTCTTGTACTACTTCAAGGATCCGCGGCAAGATTTCAGACGCATTGTCAGATCCGATCCTAACGAACGCACGAAAGAGCCAAGAATACCGCAGCCAGATGGAAGCAGAGACAATGAAGGGGCTGTAGGATCGAAGCCGATCGCATTGAAGGCTTATCCGAAGACCTTCACAGGCCGCCTCAATTGGGCGATGACGCTCTTACAAAGCCGGCCATTGCACGACTGGATTATCGGCGAGCCAGGTCATGACCGACGAGTCCTCCGGCCATTCCAGCATCCTAGTCGATTCCAGCTCATGGTCGACATCTTCTCTCGCCTTTTGCCTGTGTTGTCAATCCTCTTGCCGTTGTCCAAGCAACTCGCAGCGCACGACCCATACTTCAGCGATCCAACATGGTCGATCTTTGCTCTGTATGGAGCTGATCACAGCGATGCAGGCAAGATCGCGACCTTTCTGAGGAACTCGGTGCCGCCATTTATGCTCAGGTCTATGACAATGGCTATGTACACATACTCGCTCCTGCTCGGTCTCTTTCTGCCGCCAATGCTTTTCGTGCTGCTGCTCAATACACTGCGCTTGATCCCGGACAAGTGGTCACCGCATACGTGGCGACCACACTTTGGACCTTTCTCAGTCATCGCCAAGTATGGGGTGCGAGGATTCTGGGGTCGCTGGTGGCATCAGCAGATGCGACACATTGTTTCTGAGCCAGGCCGATGGCTGGCAACGAAACTTGGGTTGGGCGATGACGGTTGGCAGAAGACTGTCCGATACATGTTGGTCTGCATATCTGCGTTTACGTTGAGTGGGATAACGCACTTGGGCATGGTGCCTCCGAGTCCGAGGTTTTCGACGGTGGATACGAATGAGCTGCGGTTGAGTCTAGCGGGCTTTTTCTGGGTCCAGCCCGTGGGTATCGCTGTCGAGATGATTTTGGTAGAGCCTGCTCTGCGCAGCTTTCCTGCGTCAATGCGAGAATTGCAGGTACTATTGAGAGTTGTATGGACGTTGTTGTTCATGTGCTTCTCGTGCACTTATTTGGTCCTACCGTTCGGGCAGTTGGGATACTGGAGTATTGTTCCTTCCGAGTTTGTGCCACATTTGCTGTAGAAGCCCCGAACGCCGTTGACGGCCGCTGGAGAAGGGGCCTGATTTTCTCTCGCCTGCGCGTGGAGTTGAGAGAGCTTACATTAATCCTCAGCTTCCCGATCCTAATCATTCCAAGGCATGATTTACTAACGTAATCCACCATCGAGTGAGACAACCCATCAAGTGAGACAGTTTCTGCCAAGACCGCCTACTCCCTCATCAACGCGATATGCCTCAACAACAAGACGCGCAACTATCAAACAGAGAAGGCAGAATCCAGCTTGCTCTTTCTGCCTATACTACCTGCCAGTTCCAAAATCTCCGACGCGCTGCCCAGGCGTTCAATGTACCTCATGCAACCTTAGCTTGTCGATTCAACAGGATCACACATGGCCCAGATACTCGCAACGCCCAACATAAGCTCACTGCAGCTAAAGAGTAGACAATTACAAAATAAGTCCTCAACCTTAATTCGCAAGGGCTTGCGCCCTAGTTGTGCGAGGTGGCAGATATGGCAAATAAAGTGCTGGGTGTGTGTAGCGGAGAGCCAGTTGGGCAGAGGATGATAATTGGCGCGTGGTCCCAGCTAGTGGAGGACTGCAAAGTTAAGTATAGCGTCTACAACGATAACGTGCACAACCTCAATAAGACAGGCTTCTAAATAGGTGACATTGGCTTGATAAAAGTTGTCACAGGCTCTAAGAGACGTGCTTGACCTGATCTTATCAGGAAAAGTTTTTGAAACCTGGCCGTTGTTGGCAGTCGTGGCACGTTCGTGGCACGACCGTTCAACGGCCCCAACGGCCCCAACGGCCCCCAATGTTCGAAAACGACGGCTCAACGTTCCCAACAGCCAAAACGCTGAGTGCCCATAATTAATAACCTCGCAACGATGTTGCAGCGTCGTTGCATGCCTACTAGCACTTGTATGAAATATCCGAAAATTCCGAAATTTAACATATAGATAGAGCGAAATTGTGGCTACAAAACAAGCTGAGAATTATAGCAGTAACGTATTCCACCACCAAGCTAGCCAACCCACAAGCCAGCCACTTTTCCTTGGCACAACCAACTTTCTCCTCATCACGTAATGTCCCAACAACACAACGCGATGGCCTTTCAGGAAGAAGGTAGAGTTGATCTTGCCCTTCGCACCTATACACGTGGTCAATTTAAAAGCCTGCGACGCGCTGCTGCAGCTTTCAATGTTAAACACCAGAGAATCTCTGATCTACACTACGGAATCACCTCTTAAGCTCAAACCCAACCAAATTGCCAGAAGCTTACAGCAACTAAAGAGCAAACGATTTTCCAGTATATACTTAACCTTAACACCCGAGAATTCGCGCCCCAGCTGTGCGAGGTGGCCGATATGGCTGATAAACCGCTAGGTGTGCGTGGTAAACAGCCTTTAGGCAAACACTGGGCTGAGAGGTTTGTAACACGTTTATCTGAGCTCAGGATGACTTTCAATCGAGCAAAAGACCAGCAGAGAATACTCCAGGAGGATCTAGAGATAGTTGGCGCGTGGTTTAAGCTGGTGGAAGACACCAAAGTTAAGTACAGCGTCCACAACAACGACGTGCAAAACTTTGATGAGACAGGCTTCCAGATGGGTGTCATCGGCTCAATGAAAGTTGTCACAGGCTCTGAGAGACGTGCTCGACCTGGTCTTGATCACCAGTTACAGCCCAGGCTGGTTTCTCTCAGCTTGTAAAGGGAGCCGAGTTGATGCTGCACCAAAACGCGCTTCTAGCAGCTCGAAATATTGAGCTTGAAGAGCAACTAGCAGTCATGACTAAGAGGAAAGCGCGTAAATGCAAGCGCCTTCAGCATGGTAGGACTCTTGATTATGGCGAGGCAGCAGTGCAGGTGGCTGCTGAGGCGTCTGTGGCTGCTGAGCGGTCAAAGAAGACTTGTAGTAATAGTCATCAAGAAAGAGCTCAACCAGCTGTCCGGCGCTGTAGGAACTGTGGTAGGACTGGGCACAATTCGCGAACATGCAAAAAGGATACAGAAACATCTTCTGAATCTGATGCAAGCACAACGTACGCCGGTTCACTATTTGATAGCAATGATGTTGAGGTTTGAAGTTGTTGAGTTGGGTGTGCCAAGCCTTTTTAACTCACTTGGGTTGTTTCACTCGATGACGGATTACGTTAACAGGTAATGAGACAGAATTAAATCATGCAAGCCTACAAGGTCTAAAACCCCTGTATGTGCTGCGCTTCTGTTCATTGATCCTACAATATGTTCGGTGGCGACACCTCCAGCAGTTACCAATAGTCATGTGAAAACTTCGCGGGTGAGCTTTAAATATAGGGAATTCACAACAATCGCAAGCATGAGGCCACCCTACTCCACAAAGGTCTTTCAACTCGTATCGTAATGGAAAGAATGAATGCTTTGGGTATACAGAAATGAGATGTGGAAATGGAAGCCCCCGACAGATCCTAAGATACTACACTGTTAGAAATGAATCACTGTACAATTCAGGCGGTTGCGGCCTGGCCAGCAGATCGAATCATTATACACAACCATGAAGCAAGATGTTGAAAAGGACAAAAACGTGGCCAGCGCGGATATTGCGGTCTCTCACTCTGTAGGATGTTGGATTCTCACCATGCCGCCGAAGCTGGAGTCCGAATCGGTATCAGACAATTCCAAAGGAGCTGACAGACGGCTGGTACTGTCTACGTGGTGCTGCCCAGAGGCGATCTCCTCCGGTGGCCGTAAACCAGTGTCAATGTGTTCCAACTTCGTGACCAATTGTTCGGCCGTAAGTCGGCATTTCGGATCAATCTCAAGTAGCTTTGGGATGAGCTTTGCAACATCTTGAAGTGCTCCTTCACAGTGGTTCGATACTCTCTCGATCTTCTCCATGACCAGGTCTCGGAGCTTGAACTTATCGCTCTCCTTTGCCTTGTAGTAGAACCCTTCGTCTTCGCGACCGCCAGGAGTGACTCGGCACTCACGTTTGTCACGAAACTCTCTCAAGGCCGTGTAACCGTCAAGATACCACACCAGTAGCTCCAGGAAGACACAACCAAGGGACCAGAGATCATATGGGCGAGACGTCTTTCCCGTTCCAGTGGCCTCAGGCGCTCGGTAGTTGGGTGTGCCTGACTTACTTACTGTCTGATAGCTGTATTTGTTCTTACCACTGACGGAAGTAAGAACGTCAACCACCTTGGCGCACGAGAAGTCCGACAATCTAAACCAGTAGGTTTTTTTGCCGCCTTGATTGTAGATGAACATGAGGATGTTCTCAGGTTTGATGTCATGGATGAAGCCGGTCTTCTGCTTACTCCCTTCAGGAGTGAGCAGGCCAGATTTCTTTCCAGGATCACTCTGACCCCGATTGTGAATGAGAGAGAGCGCATCAGCTAGACCAAATAATTGTTGCGCTAGGTCCTCGGGTTGCATGTCGTCGAGATCGCGAGGATCGCTATGATCCTCCATGAACTTCTCGACATCGCAGTCTGCTTTCTCGTAGATCATGTTGTACTGTGCACTGAAAGTGAAGCTAGCGAGGCACTTCAGCAGATGATGGTGGGCCAGGTTTTCCATTTCTCGGTGGAAAGACACCTCAAGAGTCCCTGCGTGCTTTGTAACCTTCATTGCGAACATGCCATTTGTATCGGCGCCCTAAGACATTTGTCAGTGCTCACAGTAAATACCAAGTATGGAATGACGTACACTCGAGAAGGATCGCTGGTCTGGGTGTATCCAAACCTTGTAGACATCGCCAAATGCTCCCCGTCCCAGCAGTTTTCCCTCGTCTAATTGAAGAGGTTTGGCCGTGAGGTTGTTCCATATTTGGGTCGAGTTTAGTCGCAAGTATGGAGGGTTGAATAGTTTCTGATTTTGGAGAAATTTCGATTTGAACTTCCCCTTCTCCTCATGTGCAGGACAATCTTCCTCTTTGAATGGAAATTTGTAGTCATTAAGGCCATGGTCAAATAATGCCTTGACGCAAGTCAAGGACAGTTCGGCGTAAATGCAGGTGGCGAACATCTTACATCCTTCAGCTAGGACTCTTTGCACGAAACCTTCTTTCGCCTCGCCGAGACGCAATTTATCGTCCTTAGATACTAAGGCTCGGATGACAGCTTCGGTGGTAACACAATCGAATTTCGTTTTTGGCAGGAAAATTTGATCCTCGCCTTTGAATATGGTTGTCGCCATATGTTCATACATATAATCGAGCACTTGTTTAACATCGTCAAGTAGGGTGGCCATCTTCTCTCGCTGGGTTCAACGATAGGAAAAGGGGTGAGTGCGTAGGCAGGTCACAAGACAGAGATATCTTGACTTGAAAATCGATAACGTGGTTGGCTCTGCGTCAGGTCGCATTTGGGAAAGAAGTCTCAAGGAGATGCTGGAGTGGGCTTGTCGAGTAAACCGAACAGGTGGACGCTTACTTCGCCTTTATCTTCGATCGAGAAAAAAGGCAACAAGGCAACTAAGCCACATTAATAGAGATTCATATGCACCATCCATACTACGGAATCGTCCCTTGCTATTCGGCGCTGTCAGCCATAGCTCCCAAGTCCGTTTATGCCCGTTGACGTTCATACAGCGAACCCGTGGGGCGGCAGTGAATGGCTAGTAGCATTGCTACTCAAGTGAAGGTGAGAATCATTGGTTGCCTTGTGGTAGAGTGAAGTACGTGAAGACCGGTCAGTCATGTTTGAGCAAAGGCGGCTGTGCATGCGATACATGCCGAGATTACTGGGTGCGGGGGTGCATGCTGGGTCCGGAGCAAGCCAATCCGGAGGTAGGTGCTACAGCCGACAGGGTGTGGATGGTGGAAGCGAGCTCAGATGGGAGCGCCTGGAGTTTCGAGCCGACCAAGTCGGCGCAGTTCGGTAGCAGCCGCACGAGCTGCACACTCTTGTTAGCCTTAATATGCGTAGATAGTGAAAATGGCTGCACTAGCATTGCGAGCGATGTTACGTAGATGTGCTACAGCCACAAACCGGCAGGTATGCTCGTGATAGGCTGAGACTGCGCTCCGCGCCCCGCGACTTTGAGTCCTATGCATGACAGCGGTATCTATGCAAGTCATACTTGCGATTCAGCCTGCTTTTGAGAAAATCGAACAACTCTCCCCTTCCGCATGTCGCCCACTCGAATCCAAGAGTACCAAATGAGAAATGTGAGGATGGTCAGAGGAATCGAGATGGCAAAGAAAACCCAAACATTCTGCGCATAGCCCATTTTTGATGAGCCATCATCAGCTACCGTTTGATCAACAAATTGTGTGGAATAGAAATTAGAGACAATGGTGCAGGGAAGGTAGACCATCGTTATGATCGTGAGGATACGCATGCTGGATGAGTCTCTCTGGTTCTTCTTGGCGATGTTCTGCATTATTGCATTCCCGTCTCGTAATGCACCAATCTGATAATTTATGTTGAAACCGCTCTGTCTTTCGAGTAATGATGAGATCTGGACAGAAGAAGTCAGCCAAAGAGCAACGAAAGCCTACAAGTGAAGGAGTTTCTCACAAGAGTTCTGGTGCTCTGAATCTTCGAAAGCAGGACTTCTGCCTTACGCTTTGTGTACTAGATCTCCTTCACCTTGTCTTTGAGAGCCACATCTACTGCATCGAGCGGATGAAACAACCTTATATTGTCCTGACGTTGGCAAAACTGATCGTACATCTCTTCGAAACTCGTCAATGTATCACAGGTAGAGTCGAGGCATAAGATGAGGTGTGTCGCACGATCTTCAATGTCTTTCAACTCCAAATGATCGTCAGGCGTGATTTTGACGAAGTTGTTAGGGTCATCCTCAGTGCTGATGCTTACACCATTGGCCTTATCAGACTGTGCAGGATTAGCACAAAACTCACGGGGAATGAACTCAAGTTACCAGGTCCGAAACACCCTTTGTCAGATCAATCAGATAAGGTCTCCAACTACTGATGACAGTATCCAAAAAATTGCATGGAGTTCAAACGGATTTGCTGCAACCACATCGTCAACACTCCGGGTGTACTGATCAAGACGTCTCTCGGTTCGTTGTGATGCCCCTACCAGAATACATGTTGAACATGGAGTACTGCCCATCTTGAAGCGATGATAAACGCCGAATTGCCGCAGCGACCATGGATCTTTGTGGCGGCCTCGATTGGTGAATTCGATGTATCGTAAGATGTCAGCACACTCTAGAGTCAAACAGTGTCAGCGCTCTGTAGGCACTAGTAGTCAAACCAAAAGAATAAAATTTACCGAAGCCACGGTACGCGTTACCGCGAGCTGTGTACAAGTCTCGAAACTTAAGCGGAGGGGGCCCAACTTCCGTTTCTTCACTCCTTTTGCCAAACGCCGTCACATACTCGTTAAAACGCAAGAAGGCTTGACAAGAGCGCACCAGTAACTCGAAATCCCCTTTCGTGATGTGCAGCTGGCTCAGAGAGTGCCTTTGCCGAAGGTAGAAAACCCGGAAGTCGTGTTTCGTTCGTTCTACAAAAGCCACAATCTCGCCTGACGTGATTTCACCAGACACTAGTTTCGGAACGCCTGGGTACACGGGTGGACCAGAGTTCTCCTGACGCTGATCCATCGCGACAGGCAAGGCAGTGCTTGAAGCTACGCTCAGGATCGAAGAGTTGTCAGTATCATCGTCGCTGGAGCCCTTTAAGCGTTCGTATATCAACATCTCTTGACAGTTCTTGAGAGGAACAATACTGCCCTCATCGAAGAATGGTCCTGTTGTGTTCTTGGCTTCACCAGATCCAGGGCCATTCTTGCAACTTTGGAAACACACGCCTATTCGAGTTGCCGAAGACTCTAGTTCAAATACTTGATCTGCACATCTCTCGTAGTGTTCAGTTGCCGCCGGACTAAGGTCGTACAAGAGCGTGCGTTGGAAATAAGGGGTAGCCTTCATTGTATGGAAGGGGGTCTTAACAAAAGATAAAGTGTATGTGCATGTCCGCCGCACAGGTATATGTCCTTGGGGGGAACAAGGCTGCTGCTAGCAGCCATCTTTACAATGTATCGTAGAGAGGTAATGAGCTTGACGCTGGCAACATTGCTGCACAGGCATGTGTTGTGGGCGGAGAAGGCTGACAGGGAGGTGCAGATCAAGCTAACCTATCTGGTCTATGTACTAGCATCGCTCTTATATCGTCATCGTGGCAGCCGCAACTGCACCACAAACTTACCCACAATGTCGAAGGTCGTTTAGATCCTGATGACGCTATTCCATAATTTAATCTTTGCAGGGTACGAGTTGGCATTCACAATCGCTGCGGTTTGGTGCTGAATGCAATGCACAACGCCCTGCAAGCCTGGCAGGCTAACGACATCTTCATGCATCGCCAACACATCATCACTGCTCGATCATGCTCGACCGAGCCAATCTACGTTGTCTCAGTACAGCTCGGTTGAGCTAAGCCTAGGTCTGCTGGCACCATGTCGGTTCCTTAGCAAGCCTTCGGCAACACTAAGCAGTCCTGATAGCGAAAACCAGCCACGGCATCCACGAAGGACCCTCCGTCCAGGTTTTATTCGCTCAATCTTGCAGCGCTCCGCCTCACTTCCTTCAGGATGGAAACGAACAACTTACCTGTGTCAAGGCAGACTTCGGAATCGAAGAAGACAATATGTGGACCGCACCGCCCACCTGGGCACCTGTCTGACCGACTAGCTGCGGCGACGCCAGTCTACCATATGTAAGTGCACAACGAGTTCTGTAGGCTTTATACCAGGCTCATCCTACACAGCCATCGACCGGTGCTCTTAACGCCCTTCGCGTGACCGACTGCAGTGATCCTAGCCGCTGCATGCCGGGCAATCACCCCTCATCTGAGCCCAAAGTTCCCATTAGCCCCCACAGCAATACTCTGGATAACTTTGAAAGACTAGTTAGCAACTTCACAGCATTCATATCCGGCTCTCAACCGGTTGCCGTGGCTATGGCAGCCGAAATGCTGCCCCCATCTGTATTCCCAACAGCTGCGCCGATCCGCGCTTCCCCGCAGATCATCCCAAATCGATATCTTGACGACGAAAAGCTTGTAGAAATCCTCAGAGAGAGGTTTGGCAGTAATTACAGACTAAAAGTAAATCCTCTGGCGCAAAGATCAGGGACAGTTGTACTCATCTGTCGCAGTTCAAATGTCGCAACTGGTACCTCTCAGCACCCGTCTTACTGGATAACGTGCGCTCAAAATAACATTGTGAACGACTATGACGAGCACCGCTAATTTATGCTAGGAGACGTTACAGTCGTGCGAGATGAAGTATCTCTAAGCCGTCCACTTCCACCGTTCAAACTGCGACCGCCGTGATCCGCGCTGTCAGACTTGTCCTCTAGCTCGATCGAGGGTACGTGCACGAGCACATCAAGCAGTGTTTCCTGGGCGAAACGACCGCTCTGTGTACTCTTTGGTCTTCGGGCTTGATCCATCGCCTACTGGTATAAGACATAAGCCCCTCGTATGCATTATTGCCAGTATGTGGACATTGCAACGGTACAGAGTCCGGCCCTACGTTGATCAGTCATTGAAAGGAAGAGCACTACAAGAGCTAGGACCAAGACTAGCGAAGGGTTTCTGTTCTCGGTAATGATACTGCTACCCCTAGATTGACTGGTTTACTCAAATTAAGGAAATAGAGACATCTCCCGTCAAGTCTTGAGTACAGACGAGTGGACGCTCTGTGTAAGCCATGTACCTCGGTGCCAGTGATCTGAAATTTGCCTGATTGGCAAACAAGATGGATAACACACGCTACGTGAATACTGCCGGGGTTGGGGATTGTGTATAGGCTAGATCGGAAATTTGCGACTAAGAGATCGCAATAACAGCCATAAACCACAAGACATGTGCTAGTTTCTGCAGTCAGGTGGTAGTCAGAGTATTGGCACCATGGAGATAAGGAAGGACAGCTCACCCAAGCCGTCATACATTCATCTCCCAAACGATACTACCGCATAACGATGACCCACGACCAGCCATCACAACCCATGTATAATGCTAGCGTAAAAGAATGTCACCCAACTAACGCCATGCAAAATCTGAACGGATATGAATGGGGCATAAGCCGGAAAATGAACAGACTGTGTACAGAAACGTGGAGATGCAAACACCATACATCCGGGCCCAGACCCATGGAAACTGACCCAGGATGTACACAACGCTCAATCATCTACGCAGATGATCCGGAAGCAGCAGATCTACCACTCTCGCTCCTCGTCAACTCCTCACCTTCAAGCGGCTCGTTCTCCATCTGCTCAGCAATCTCCTCGTACCATTTCCCATGAGCCTTGCGGTCGACCTCACCAACCTTGCTCAATTGCTCGCAAATATCTGCAACCTGAGGCACAAACTCTGCAAGTCCAGTCGTTGCAAGCCCCTCAGTGGCTGTACTAGCAGCCTTGACACGCTCGCCCGAGCTGCTAGCCGAGACGCGGTTGAATATGTGCGTCTTGAGGCGCTGGAAGAGGACCTTCGTGACTGGATCGGACAGCTTACCAGATTCAGCCTGGGTAAGGAGACGAGTGACCGTCGAGGAAAGCTGTGCGCGAGTGGAAGGCGGCATGTTGTGCGAAGACTCAAGTAGGGAGGATATCTTTGCAGGTGTCGTGGAATCCTTCATGTAACCGTCTTTGAGAACATCCCACATGCGATTTGCTTGAGGCTTCCATTGCGAGCGCACATCTCGCTTGAGAAGATTCTTGGCAGTAAGTAGGATACCGCCAATAGTGGTAATTCGCAGGGCGTCTTCACGGATGCGAGAAATACGATCACGGTCCAACGCAAGCGTCTCTGGAAGCTCGGAGTCTCGCAGCGGAGGAACAGAGATCGCAAGGTCGATAAGACCGCGAGCGTATATCTTGTGTGCTGTTGGACGGTTCGTGGGGTTTGGTTGCGCCCATGGATCGCGGCGATCTGCTTCGGTGTGCATGTTGATAGCTGCACTACGCCACCAGCGCCTCGTGCGGTCCAGAGTAATGTTTCCCTCCTCTAAGTCCTGCGCAAACATGCGTTGCTCGTATCCAGTGGCCTCCTTGATCAACGTCGGCGCAGCGTTCATCAAAAGGAAGTTCGAGTAGTCCAGCGACAAGAGGTCGATCACGTGCAGGAGCTTGAACAGCTTCTCCACCATCTCCGGAAGCTCGCCCTCCTCCTTCAACTCATCTGTCAACTTCTTGACCTGTGCATCCCGGAAGGGAGCGCAGAGCTTGGGCAGGATGTTGGCAATAAAGCCGAAGAACTTCTCGTATGAGAATAGGCCTTGACTGCATTGCTTGGTGATGTGGTTTGGATCTAAAGTCTCAGAGATGAGGGTATGCATCGAGTTGCCTGCCTTCAACAGGCGCAACAGCTTTGCACGAATGTTCTCTGCCATGGCAGCTGTCCATTGCGCGCTATCACCATCCTCGAAGCCCTTGCGCATCGCATCGCAAAGCTCACGGTTCAAAGCATCTCTGAGGTCCGCAGTTGGCGATGCGTCGATGCGGTACTCCTTATCGATAGATAGTTCGTGCACAAGCACACGATTGTCCGGCACAATAGTAAAGACCTTTGAAAGCGATTGGGCTTGATGACCCTGTGTTGCGGATCCAACAATCGCAGCTTGGCCTGAAGCTGCGAGCTCAGAAGCAGCCTCTGCTTGCATGGCGGCACTCTCGCCTTCGACCGGTGAAACAGAGACATCCACGGCGACACGTGGTCGGACTGTTTCTCCAGCAGGCCTCTTCTTGGGCCTCGACCTGCGACCTTCACGGATGGCCTTGCGAATCAATGTCAACGCCTTGTCTGGTCCCGCTAGCTTCTTGATCCTGCTGAGCAAGATAGCCTGGTTGTCTCGAATGCCTGTCCTGTACTCATTCGCAACTTCCTCGACAGTTGCGTCCTTGACGCTCTGCCAGATCTCATCGAGACTGACGAAGGAGGCGACCATCGTCTCGACAAGAGCAGATGAGTCACGAGCCTTCCAGTCATTGAAGGCCGTAACGAACGCGCTATGAGCTAACAAGACTGTTTCGGTCCTGGTCGGCGAAGGTGTGTAGTAGTTGAAAGTGGTAAGCTTTCCCAGAGCTGATTCGAAGGAGAGGACCAGGTCCTTGGCCTTGGTAATGAGATCCTGCTCCTGGTCGCCGTCGCGGCTCAGGACGTTTGCTGGGTGACCCAGAATGAGATATGAGGAAAGGAATGTTCTCACAGCCGTGCTGCGGGCGACAGGATCAGGATCTGGCAGCAACACAAATAGCTCCATGACCTTCTCTGTCATCTTCAGGAGCTTCTCGTCTGCAAGCATGGCAGTAATGTCCTCGAAGCTCGTGCTGCTGATTTTCTCGATCGACAACCCAATTTCCAGCCACTCATCGACGATGTTCTTCCTAGTTCTCGCCCTCCATGCAGACTGGATGCGCTTAGCAGCATCCTCAGAAGTGGGAGCTGGCGACTGCTGGGCTGCGTTCTTCACGTCAGCAGGGGGCGAGCTTGCAGTCCGCGGCCTGCGAGGGCTGCGCTTGTATTCTAACCGCCTCCTTTCTGCCTCTGCGTGTTTCTCCTCCATCTCAAGGCGGTATCTGCGCTCTTCGGCGGCCTTGCGCTCTTTCATATCCTCTGCGATCTTCTTCGCCCTGCGGACCTCCTCGGCACACGACGCGGCTACTTGTGCAAGGTGCCGTTCGCGGGCTTCCTTGGCAGCCAACGCCTTCTCTTCACTGTTCGACACCCGCGGTGTAGCCTTTGCCGCCGCGGCGCGCAAACGGACTTGTTCGGCATGAGCAGCCCTGTCAGCCAATCGAGCTTTACGGGTCTCGAGAATCGATACACGGCGGAGGTGCTGGGCGATGTGGTGGCTCTGGCAGCTGTTGCGGATGGCGGAGCGGCTCGATGTGTGGGAGTGGGTCGAGGATAGCGAGTTGCGGCGGGATGACGTCGCGGACGACTTTCGGCGGTTGTTTGAGTATCTGTAGAAGCGTGCGGCGATTCGTGGGGGAGGTGCGAATGTCTGGTCGTTGCCAGCGTCGTCTGAGAGCAGCATGTCGGGCTCCTCGGGAATGCCGTCGTTGTCTAGCTGTAGCTGCGAGCTCACCAGCTCGATCTCCGAGTCGCTGAAAGACATGGTTTTATGCAAAGTTTCCCCTGATTAAGGAGACGCGGAAAGTATCGAATCAGCGCAGCGACGCGGGCGAAGCTGGTGTTGACCGAGATATGAAACAAAGCACGTCCTCGACGGTGATGACGCTGTCTGTGTGGAACGAGCCGGAGGCGGTCAGGGAAGGCTGAAGCGAGAGGAACGCATGCAGCAAGAATACAACGATATACAGACGAAGCGAAGGGATCCGGTGCCTTGATCAGCCGGCTGTGTTGTGATGGCTGCACACCAGATCGAGATTGATAAGCGGTGGGGTAAAGTCGGTGCCCGTTGCTCGAAGTGTGAACGAGCGTTGCGCAGGGATCAAGTAAAGGAAGGAGCGCTGGACTGAACACCGCAGCCGTCGCAGCAAGGTAACGAAGGTGGCTGGGATGGCGTGCCTTCCTTCAGCATGACGGAAGTGCCCATCCATCAGCCGCCGGCCGCTTTGCGCTAGCGCGAGCCAAAGATGAGATGACATGCCCTGGAGAAAACCATCGAACGTGATCGACAGCTTCCCGGAAGACCTCCACTCCTCAGCCTTACCAACCCCGTAGTCACATGCCCGGCCGCTAGTGCAACGTCTCGTATCTGCGGCCTTACCCATCTTGCTGTGAGACGATGCTCCTTATTGACATGCTTCAGCTACGAGAGAGTGCGCACTGCGTGCCTGCGTTGATAAATGCAGAGCTCGAATGAGAGTTGAACAACAGGATGAGTGTCGATGTGTTGCGCCGCAGATGCAGCATGCCAAGACAGCTCTCATTAGGGAGGACCGCGGACATACTTTGAGGACTACTGTTACGAACGAAGAAGCTATTTCTGCGAGAGTAGAAGTCGGCGTGCAGATCCGTCGACGCTCGGGACTTTGTAGGTGTCTTGAGGGCAGCCAACACTGCTCACTCAGATTGGGCAACTGCTGCAAGCGCCCCTTCCGAACTCAGCTTGATGCCAACTCGATCTCTGCGACGCGTGCTGCGCGAGCCCCCGGTCACTACCTGCGGTGGGTAAGAATTGGCGTTTGGGGACGAAGGAGCAGGCCAGTCACAGTGGGTTTATTTGAGAACGCACCCGCAGGAGTGCAATGAGCACATATGATGGGCGTCATTCTCGATCTCCGCGGTTTCGTCTCGAAAAACTTCATCTATTCAATCGACCTTTTTAACGGCGCTGGGCGCAATCTTGTCTCTCCGACAGAACCGCTTTCTCTTCTCAACCTGAGATGGAGAAGAGCGACAAGGGGCATCGTGAGCATGCACCTACGGGATCAGATGGAGAGGACCCTCGGAGTGGAGGGTTTCCCTCGAGAAAGGGGGCTTTTACAGACTGATTCATAGTCGTGATCTCTTGCTCACAACCACCACTTACACGGCGAACGTACCACAGGCCTGTACGCCACTATCCTTCGGGTCGTCAGTACAAACAGTCGCAGCACACAAATATTGAAGCACATCGCTGCACAATTCGCCGATGCAATACCTCAGAGATACCTATTGCGGACTTTTCCACAAAGGACAGCCTCAAGCCTACACAGAGCACACTTGTCGAGACCAAAGAATCCCCTTCGAAATCTTTGGCTGTATTACAGTGCTACGAACCCATGCCCTAAGATAACGCAATACGCCTATTGCGCGTCTATAAAGGGGCCTTCAGCGACGTGGTCGAAGTCTCACTCGAATTTGCCCACTTGGACGACACAGTTTCGCCATGTGAAGCGCTCTCTTACATATGAGGATCGAGCGCTTGAGTGTCCCAGATTATTCACCAAACAACCGAAATGGCGATTCCGGTCAAGAGGAACCTCTATGACGCGCTCAAAGGTGTGCGACGGATCGAGCAGGACCGTAGATCTGGGTCGATGCATTGTGTATCAACCAGAATGACGGCGAACAGAAGAGTACCCAAGTTCACAAGATGAACTCAATATATGCTCGCGCTTCACGTGTCATCGTGTGGCTTGGTACCGAAGATGCAGGTAATGCGAACGGTACATGTGGTGCGCTCTGCGCTCTTGCTAACACCAAAGGTGCGTCAGCTCAATACACATACAACGAGGTCAGCACATCATGTAATATTTGTTCCTGGGAGCTTTCACCCTACAAAAGAGAAATATGATCTCTGCAATAAAGTGATGAGGTTCTTCCGCCAGCCTAATATACCCGACTCTGGGTCTTGCTCAGGATGCCGTCTTTGTGTGGGATGATTGCTCTATCTCATGGATCTATATAGGTCTAACTATCGGGGCCATGCAAGAGAATTAACACATGTCAAGGCTGTTCGAGACAAAGAATCTGCAGAACGCGTGCATCACGTGGCGCCTGAGCACTGTATACAACAGCAAGGGAGAAAATAGCAGCTCGAGTAAGACCAACCTGCCATACAACAAGGACAGAGTATTCCCATTCTTCCACCTCCTCGACATGGCCCGCAGCTTCGAGGCCACAGATCCATGCGTCAAGATCTAGGGACTCCTTGGCTTCCAACCACGAGAGACGGTGTGACCGCTGACTCTTTCATACCAGATTACATGCTCAGCGCAAGCGAAGTCTACACCCAAGCGACTCGCAGCCTCCTGGATAAGGAGCAGAATCTGAGTGTCCTAGCCTCATTCTTTACACGCCGCCGAGCTTTCTCAAAGCCCCTACCCACATCGACAACTGACCATCGTGGGTACTCAACTTCTTCTCAGGCGAAACCGCTTTTCTGTTTTCAAATGTGAACATTAGCCACCAGGACACAGCTGGCTATTCGCGCCCTATTAATGTTTTGCCCTGCATCGCGTCACACATACTGCGGCTCCGGGGTATGGTACTGGATACGGTGCAAGCCGTCGGACCCAGCGTACCCTGTGTCCATGTAAACAAGATAGCGTCATACCTTCGGATCTTGATTCGATTGTTCATCAAAGTCGGCATCTCAGCAACCACGCTGGCTGGCAACTCGACTGCCAGAACCTGGCAGGAACAAAGATGGACGATTGCTATCAGAGCGAGAGAGACACCAGTGCGGTGTTGGTCTGGTAGCATTACTGGAGGACTCGGGGTTCAGATCATCATTGTCTCAGGTTCCTGCAGACCGCAAGAGCCTTGGGGTCGGTGGAGATTCAGTGGGAAATTGCGCTCTGGCGCTTTATCATATATCGGCAGCCGTCTGTCACGGATTGGGGAATTTTGGGCTTGGACCTCGAGGAACAGACGTCAACGACGAAGTTGTTATGCTTTGGGGTGGGCAGTGTCCGTTCATCTGCTATCTCGCCGCTCAAAGCTCAGAAAGTGTTGTTTGCTCTCATACCCATCCAGTCACGTGTTCTTGGAGGGGAATGAAAGATACGTAAAAGAGGCAGGGGGTGATAGAGCAGTGCTAAGATCGGTCAAGCGATAAAAGATTGAGCGCGCGCAAACTCACTGTGTCGACGAGATAAACACAACTCTCACAGATCGCTCACACCACCGACAAAGTTCATCGACACTGTGACCAAACATATCCCTATGCACCGTAAGTTCATGGGGATCAAAAGCGTTCTTCGCTGATATTCTCGAGCTTATGGTAGTCTACGTATACCCGCAGAGGCGCCTTTCAAGCTCGCAGCCCCACTAGGACGAGGCTACGATGCCTTCGCAACACGCAAAATCGCCTCTGGATCAATCATTCTCCGAGAATCTGCACTTTTCACAATTCGCAAGCCTCACCCTTTTATCAACGACAGCGACATCTGGGCTGCCCTCCGTACTCTTTCATCCAGTTCTCAGCAGCAATTCTATTGTCTCTGCGACAACGGCGGCGCAGAATTCCGCTCTTTCACTGAAGCTTTCTCTGAGAACTGTTTCACCGTACCAAGCGCCATGACCCGCGAAGCCACGGATGGCATCGGCTGCTACATCCTGCTGTCTCGCATCAACCACTCTTGCGTCTCCAATGCGAAGATACCGGACACCGCCATCGAAGGCACGTCTATTGCCTGCTTCACCACCAGAGACATCGCTGAGGGCGAGTAGATCACGTTCTGCTACAACACGGACTTCATGTGCAGGACCAGCCGTGATAGGCATTGTGAGCTGAGGTTCGTGTGTGGGTGCAAGGCGTGCAGATCTGGCGGAGCGTTCTACTAACTTAGCGAGATGCGAAGGACGATGATTAGGGGGGCTGCAGTATTTGTTGCACGGGCGAGACTTTGGTGGCAGGCTGGGGTCTGGTGGATTGCAGATCATCGCCGATGTCGACTTGCGGACGAGAGCAGACGAGTTCGACATTGTTGTAGCGGACAGGTTGATGTACACCGTCCTAATTATGGCGTTGCTGGAGCAAGAGGGTCTCTTGGACAAGTTCATGTTGGAGAGAATGCAGCCCGGCATGTGGCGCCTTATTATGGCTCTTGAGACGCTGGCAAACGTAGCTATTGTCGAGGAGGTCATGACTTCGGTTACATGGGAGGAGCGCTTTGTTACATATCTGAAGCTGTGGGGAAGGAAAGATGCTAGTGACAAAGCATTGATCTCACAGCTTGAGATTCGCGGCTAGAGACAGCTCATGCGCTGCGCCTGATGAGTCCCACGAAAACGCAAACAAACTCAACAGTGAAGTGGCTCAAAAAGCAACTTCAAGTTTCAACGGCAGATATAACGGGAAAAGCAAGTGAATCCGTGACCAGTTGATGTTCGATATGTTCGATCACCGTTATTATCTCTGTCTTCTACTAGATTTGTCGGTGTGTGAGTATCAATGCGGTAAATGCGGCGGCATCGTGTTCCAGGCGGAGAGGGTATGAGTAAGCGCCTGTCGCCAATCAGAGTATTACTTAGTCTATTCAACATTTTACATTTCCCCTGAAGATGTGGCCATGTAGTCCGGAAGGAGTACTGTTAGTGGAGGCATGCGGATTGTGGCATAGACACAGTTGGTCTCGATCACACTGCCACGATCAACATACACAAGGCAGGGAGGAGGCAGATCTCGACTAGTCCTGTTTGATTCTTGTTGATTCCTGTATTTGACATCTCCCTGCGACAGATAACGCCCCGAGGTGGGCGATGAAGGGGCAGTTGTTCGACCGCGCTTGCAATCGAAGGAGGTGTTTCACATGAGCGTAGTCCTTTCGACCGCAACCCTATCGGGCTATCCGAATTTGCGAGTCATTGTGGAACCGATTTTCACAGCCGCCCGTTGATCTTGGGGGCCAGATTGCGTGAAATGGCCTCTTCTGGAGTCTGACAGACAAATCCATCTCAATACCGGCCTGTCAGAAGCTCCAGAGTGGTCGCCATCGTGGCTCCGATACCTTTGCGGAGTACAGTGGTCGACTCGAGTCAGAAGTTATCCGACTTAGTGCGATCACAAGTTCTCTAGTCCCGCGTTTTGATTTGGAAGAGGGGCTCCGGGGGCTCCTGGTGGGCGACGGATGCTACTGACTCCACCTTTTCTTGCTTCGTCGATTCTTCCCTTGGCAAGGCTGATCCCCGGCACCATCCAGTCTCCACAGCTGCACTGCATTCCCTGCCACGCATACTTTCCTACGTTAGAATGGCAGTTCGGACATTCGATCCGACCTTCCAGCTTGCCCTGTTCAAGTTCGGGGCGCATCCAGGATAGAGGGTCGACGAAGTAGTGCGCACATTTGGTCTTCGACGTGTCTTGGCTGTGCGATGTGAGATATTGCGATGTTGCAAGTGGTCGTCTGCTAGTGTGTAAGCGCTGAACAAGACAAAGCACAGCCAGACAATGCAAGGGTAGTGTAGAAGGAGTGAAGATGGCCCACTCACCTGCATTTACGACACCTCATTTCAAAGCCAGACGTCTGCTCTGTGACGTGCTCGTCTTCGAATCGGATCTTGTCAGCCTCAGGGGCTTGCGCACATGCACGACTCAGCTCAAGCTGCCGTTGATAGACCCAACGTTGATAGGCTGGGGTCTCTTCGACATTCTCGGGCATCTGCATATCGCCATATAGCTCGAGCTGCTTCCAGAATCCTTCGTTTGGCTCGACGATTGATCGGGCTTGCCGAACATGGGATAATGCTTCTAAGGGAGTGATGTTGTGCTTCTGCATCAAGTAGGCGATAACAACCGTGGCGGATCGCGATTTACCCATTGCGCAACTAGACGAAGGTATGTGGTTGGCATATCGAAACGAGTGGCTGAGAAAGGAAGTGGCAAACGAGCGGTGTGCCTGGCTTTTCCAAAGCAGCCAGGCAAGAGAAAATAGAAAATTCTGTGAAGGATGAAATGCAGGACGCGCGGAAAGCAGGGGACGACTGTGCGATGCAGCAAACGAGTTGCTGAAGCCCCTGCGTCGTGAAGATGGCAAAATTGCCAAGGAAGGCAGTCGGCAGTGAAGATCGAAAGTTGTTCATCCAGGTTTTCAGCTGAGCTGGGATTCTGACTTACTGTACCAAAACTCCGCCACCACCATCAAGCCCTTCTTGGATGAACTGATTGGTAGCAGGGAACTGTTCTAACAGGTTTTCATCCTCGACGTCGTCAACTTCCACGACATGGTGCTTGAACGGTGAAAAGAGCTCCTGATCTAGTGGCGTTCGCAACACAGAGAGAACATGTGTTATATTTGCCTGCTGCAATGCTTCACGTCGTCGAAGAGTGAACATGCTACATTACACTAATTAGCCTTGAAACGAAAGTCGTAGAGTGTGCGGAGCAAGCATCTCAACACGAGGGGGACGTTACGTACCCACCGATGTAGAGATCCAAGTCCCCGGGAACTCTGTCGATGAGAGCCATAGCGCTCAGGAGATGGCTGCAGGGCTAACTGAGAAAAGGCGGTATTCGGAGATGATGTCGTGGGGTTGAAATCGAGGATTGCGCACAGCGTGGTATGATGGTGCTTATCTGGGTGAGGCTTCGAATTTTTGACCGAGGCCCCAAAACGACGAATTGTAAAGCAGTTAGTCAGCGGCGGTGTGCCCGCTTGAAGGAAAGCGCGACCCGACCCAGACGGTTTTGTCAATATTTGCAATTTGCAATAGGGCTGACGGAGGCCGACAGAGCGTTCACAAGATTCAAGGCTATTGTCTGGGGCTGCGCCACGCAGCCTTACGCAGGTAAGAGAGGGACGGCGATCTGCGGTACGGCAAGACTTGAATTGTGCAGCGGCCACGGGCAAAGCGCTGGTCCAACCTTGTACAGTATGCACTCGTTATTAGACTGTAGAGGTAGTAAATAACGCAGATGATCGATCCAGTGCGCATCACATTGGACTGGAATTGAAATTGGTCCTATAAGGCTAAAACACGCCTACAATTCCCCTGCAACTGCCTCCACGGCTCCACGGCAGGTACTTATCCGCCCGCATCGCCAGAAGCAAACGAGACCAATTGTGGGGAATCTCCTCATTAGTTCAGTCCAGGTCTCGCTAGGCTGTGGGACCTTGCAATGCGGCTACCGTCATCGGCACGTTGGCATCTCCTGAGTCCTGACAACAAAGGGGTCCATCAAGGGTCTGCCAGCTCTACAATCACGCATGTCGTCCGACCAGATGCGTTGATGTACAACGCACCAGAAGGGGAAGTCAATCGATATCGAGGCTCGCAGCTGGAGCCCTTGCTGCAATACGACAAGACCCATAGGGCTGTTGCACGGCGAGCGCGCCTTTCTAGCTTGGGTGCCCAAGGGGCTTCAACTCCTGTCGTGCATGTCGTATTGAATGACAGGAGATGCAGCACTGCAGCACATACACGAGCACAACAGCACATGCCTTGATCGCTCTGAGCAGGCCTGGTATTCTCCGAGTGCGAGATGTCAATGCTTGGATGCCATTGGCCGCGCCTATTCCATGTCAGATGAACAGGTCAACACCACCAAAAATCGCACGATAACTATCTTGAAACCACGAAATGAATAAACCTTGGTCACTACTGAGCTGCAAGCGAAGCGTGGAGACGGCGAGGTGCCAGCCGAGACTCGCCAGGGAGTTGGCACGACTGGTAAGGCTGAGAGGCTGGCGTCTCCCGCTACACACCTCACTCGTGTTCGAGCCCGACCTTACACAAGTCTATCTGACGCACGCATCGTGTGCGGAGGTGCAGCACAGCATGCAGGATGACTCGTCAGATCACCAGCATGCGTCCATACAGTAAGCTCGCACGCCGCCCGTCCACCTGGCCAGACTCACCGTTAAGTAGTCGGATGTCGATCGCTGGTGTGCATACAGGATTGTCAACAACGGGCGGAAGGGCGGGCTGTGACCTACCATCCATTGATCATTGCGGCCAAGCCTCCTTGTCCGAGTGAGCTCCATCCCACGCTGCTGGTAACCCCTACGCCCGTCGTCGATCTGTGTATGCTCTTGTAACAATCTGTGAAGCAGCCTCGATCGTAAAGTCAAAAGCCGCATGGCAGCGGCAGCGTGACCCCGGGGCCAGTCTGCACGAGGCGTATCGAAGTGGACCGGCCTCGGACTTGCCAGCGCTGAGGCCTTCGGCAGACTTCTCGAAAACCCCCAAAGACATGGTGTCGAGTAAGGGCTGCAGATGAGCTGCATCCCTGTTGGCTCCACAGCGCCATGTCCGTGCTAGTTGCAGCCAATGGGCGCTCGAGAGCGCCGATGAGAGACACTGGTTAATGCTGAGGCAGTCCCCAGTGTTCTGCTCATCTGTTCGCTGTTGCTGCTGTTCTAACGAAAAGGCCTTGGCCTTCTTTTAGCATCTGTTTTATTGCCTGCATCGCCGATGTCCTGCGCAGGGACCTCTATCTCCCTTTCGACTCCCCCCACTCGCCCTCCGCTCTTTTTGCGCGACGCTGAGCTGAAGCATTTGGCGTAAGGGCTGCGGTGGTACCATGATCACGACCTGAGGCCCACGAGCAGTGTTGATCATATGACCAGCGCCCTGCCTCAAGCAATCTGAGCAGGTAAAGCATAGTGGCGGTGCCGGCCAGACGTCCAGCTAAGGTCGGAGAGCCTCACCGTTCGTCTGAAGAGGGTTCAGCCCTACAGCTCAGGTGCAAGGAAACGAGCGCTAGCCCGAACGCTCCTCGCCCTGCCAGCCTCGCCTTACGGTCACGCTGTTGTTTCCTGTGCAGCGCCACGACGCGTACGTCCCTACGGTGAGTCGCACTTCATTACGCACATTGCAATAGACTTTTCAGCTCCTGCTGCACGCCGTCCCGGCGACGTCCCTGCCTGTTTCGGCCATCCCGTGGGCTGCCACTTCCCGGCTAACGTTCGCCTGCAGTCCGTGCGCCTTCCGCGCCCACTATCCAGTAGCGAGCATCTTTCTCACTCTGCGCGCAGCGCTCGCCACAGTTGCGGCGCGTCTGTTGCGAGGGCACGCTTCAGCTGCCCTTCAGTGGCGGTCCGTAGCGACATCATCGTTCGCTAGTAGAAGTAGTGCACACGACGATGTCTTCGACCCCAAGTATCAGGGTATATGAATCATCACGCTACCAGCGACCCTCCTATTCAAGCCCTGCGGTCGCCATGGCCATTCCAAACGCACGCGAAGCCGTGCCCCCGCCCTTGCCTCCTCCGCGTCACATTGAGGACCTAAGAGCCGGGCACTCTGATCCCGGTTGGCAATGGGGTAACACAAACAATCCCAAAGAAAACGGCTTTGGCGGAATTCGGCTCGCGACAGTCAGACATGGCTCGAGCTTGTACGGTGGATCTGGCAGCGGCCAGGTGCATCATCCACGGGACCTGTCGGCCGACCATCTTTTCAATGGTCGCGAGTCCTCCATCTCGCAGTCTCTCGACGACATGAGCTCTGAGGGCAGCAGGGACCACAATAGTGACGAGGATCGCAGCGGCAAGACTCGGCCATCGCTCGGTAACCACAGGTAAGAATTCTCGTGCCCATACGTTCCCTGTACTTTCTTATTATTGCCTGTCTGCCAATCAAAGGACCAGGCGCTTGCCTCGGTGGCAGTTGATGGGTGGCATGGGCCATCTCATTTTCCACTACCTCTATGCTTAGTCCCAGCCCATATGCATGTGTACAATGCATACAGCAAGCTATTCGTTGACTAACCACAACGATGAACCACAGATTTACAAGTGAACGACAGCTCGGTCAAAAGGCACTCGATCACTCATCACAGGCCTACGACAAGCAGCTTCTATCTAAGATCGGTGGCCCTAATACTCCAACGAGAACAAATGCACCGCCACTATCGAGCAGCGCCCAAGACCCGTCTACCGACTCTCGCACGCACAAATTGAACGGACAGCAGTTGAAGCCTCTATCTGTGCCCGATCGCCTACACCCCGACTCGCCTGCTACTAAGTGGTCACAGTCAGGCGTAACATCGCCTGGGTACACAGAGTTCCGCAGTCCTGTCTTCGACGGACCGGATGCAAGCAGAGGGGGACGTTACGGCAGCATCTCCACGCCAGGGCCGTTGGATGAAGCGCCTCTCCATCGCGGCAGCTACGACCATAGCATATTTTCAGATCACGAATTTGGTGGGATGGAGGAGAATGGCATGCGCAACCTCCACATCGAGGAGCGCAGTCCTGCAGGGTCTGACGAGTATCATATGTGCCAGAAGGGAGGCCTGAAACGGCGCGCCTCGTCGCCCCCTCCAGAGGCAGTGCGTGATGACCGGCCTACTACAAGTCGGGGATCCGGCTTGTATCACCAGCGGTCACAGCAAATGCTCGCTAATCGCAACACTCCAGCCTCGCGCTTTCAGATGCACCATGGATCACTATCTTCAGTGTCATCCTCGGGACCTCGCACTGGCTCACTCGGCTCCTCTCTCGGGTTTTCCACGGCGGCAAGCAGTATGACAAGTTATGGCAATGACCAACGCCTGTCCCCCAGTGCATTGTCGCCCTCGGGGCCTACGGAACTAGGCCCTGTCTCTCCGTATGCAGCTAGCAGGTCGCTAAACCCTAGCCCCCGCGGCTCTTTATCAAGGCCACAGCACCAACGAGGCTACTCGGAGTCCGAGCATCCTTCTCAGATCCGGAAGCTGTCAACCGAAAGCATCATTCACTCGCGACAGAATTCGATGGTCAACCGTATTCCTGGGGCGTACATTTGCGAGTGCTGCCCGAAGAAGCCCAAGAAATTCGACAGCGAAGATGAACTACGGTAAGTGGCATCCGTGCTTCCCCACCGCTAATCTGTCCGCCTCCTGCAAACATGCGCTGACTTGCGAGCACAGATCACACGAGCTAGAGAAGCAGTACATTTGCCAATATTGCCCAAATCGGTTCAAGAACAAGAACGAGGCGGAACGCCATCAAAATTCTCTGCATCTGCGGCGACATTCCTGGTCATGCGCTGCGCTCGCTGGCGTGCAAGCTGCTTTCCACCCTTCTCCTGCTCGTCCAGCCGCGGCCGACATGTGCGGATTCTGTGGCGAGGATTTTCCTAACCCCCCCAACTGGGACGCTCGAGCAGAGCATCTGAATCATGCGCACAAGTTCGGCGAATGCAATCAAGCCAAGAAGTTCTTCCGCGCAGATCACTTCCGGCAGCATCTGAAGCACAGTCATGCTGGTACGAGTGGAAAGTGGACCAACATGCTTGAAAATGCGTGTATGAGGGACGAGCCACCGCCGCAGGAGCGTGTCGGCTCCGTAGGCTCCATCTCTGGTCCATCGGTCTCTCCTCTGTCAGCGAAACCTGGAGTCATCAACGAAGCACACGATGAGTCCTGAGGAGTTGCTCTATGCCCCTCCAGCGAAGCATCACTTCATTTTCGATTCAACATTTCCGCATAGACGCTTATGCATCTTTACGGTCGAACAATAGACCACACTTACAGCAGCCGTCTTTCCGCAATTAGCACGGCTGTCAATCCCATTCCAGAAGTTGAAACATTTACACATTCCCGCATCTGGATCAGCACCTAGACGCGTATCTCAAATGGCGTTTCAATTGGCGACTGCATTTATCATCCTGTCCCACGATACTCATGGTAAAATCTTGTTGCGCAAAAGTCAAGCTTGGACTTAAGGCATTTCAGAGGCGTTTTCTCCGTCAACAATCTTGGTCGGTGTAAACACGGAGGTTTATTCATGTGTATACAGGACAGGGACTTCAATACATCCTCCAGCCAGCATTAGACATCAATACGAACATTGTCGAATACGACAGACTACTTAATCAGCTTCGATCTCAACATGACATCCGCACCAACCGCACGTCCCACTTGCCGGCTAATAAGACAGTCTTTCGTCGTATACAAAACACTTCACAGAGCTCCTGGTCACCTATGGCACAACAGGGTGTGCTTGTTATGCGGACCAGCGGAGAAGTCTCCGTGAAGAGCGCATCATAGGTGCCCCCGGTAGGTGGAAACACCCACGGTTGCTTCAAATCAGCATCAGCAACTTCGTGAGTGGCTTACGCAACGGGAATACGACAGCACCGGTGAAGGTGTTGCTTGTGTAATATCGTGCCATCCCTCGACCTATATATAGCAAAGAGACGGGAGATTCCATTGCAATCACGAAATGGTCATCGTCTTACCACCTGTTAGTATTGCGAACGTTGCAGTGTTACCATACACAGATATATAATCAAACCTCCAGATCAAAACAATGTCTGGTACGCATAGTGGGGTGGCAAATGGACTGTGTTCGTACTGGAACCCATCATGCTGTTGATTATCTGGCAATTATTTCCTATATGAGTGCAGCAAATGCGTCGTCGACGAACTTAACAGTGAGGCCGCGACATCTGCAGCAAGCAGCTTATGCGTGACATACCGAAGGAACGCCAGACCTTGTCAACGCCGACATCTCGCGACCTTAACCACATTTCCTGACCACGAAGCAGGAAGTGCTCGGCCGCAACATACAGCTTTGGCATGCGCATTGCGTGGCGTGGCCGGCAACAGCCGTCGAGAGTGACAACACGTACATGTGCGCCAAGCCCGTCACCACTCTCACCACCCCTTTCCGGCAATCGTCATCCAGTGTTACTGCAACCCTCGAAGGGGAATTACGACGCGGGATGACTTGGTAAGATCGGAATCGGGCAGGTGGGGGCTGACAGCACGAGTGTAAGCATTGCATGGCGATGTATGATTCACAATAGCCGTCGTAAAATAGTCTGCATGTCTGCAATCCTGAACGTGGGGCAGTGTAACGCGCGGAGACCGTGTGTACTGGTGGGGCGAATCGGCAGAGCACGTGTGTGAGTCGGCGGACGGCGTGTGTTACACGAGCAATGACTCGAGGAGGGCGCCTGAATGTCTGAGGGATTCATCATTCCTTCAGGACGAGACACGGGAGGCTGCGAACTGCGTCTAAAATCTGCGTCCCAGGCTCCACAAGGCAAGATCAGCCGGACATGATTTGCGATGGGGTTTCAATTGGCGGACAGCTACGGCAGGACACCCGCCACCATGACCCAATACCTCGCAGGCGAAATGTCTCTATTGGTGCATAGTATAACTGGTCTGGTGTCGTGAGATCTCCCACGATTCGTAACTTCGGGGTGTCCACCACCCTGCTCGCTGACTGCATCTCTTGTACCAAACTCTTGCATGATCTGGACCCGTGCCACCTGATACACATATGAACACATTTTTATTTGCCTGGCCAGTCGCGCGGCCGCTAATTGCTGACTGCGTTTCCAGCGGAGGGTTAGAGTTGGCTGCAGTCAGGATCTTGAAAAGCTAGCTGAGAACGACGATGGAGGGTTAAAGAGAGGTTTGTATGGTGGGTGAAGGCTGATCTGCATGCGAGGCACTCTGACACGCATGCATCATGGCAGGTTCTTCGGAACAGAGGGGAAGCTTGCGGGGTTTTGGAGGCGCTCGCGGTTACGCTTTGCGATCTCGGCGTTGCGAAGCTTATCCAGGCGCATCTGGTAGAAAGATCTGTGATTTTTCGTGAGCATCTGGATCATCAGTAAATCATACCGTTACGAAGCACCTACTTGGTTAGATGGTAGATTCGAGCGGTAGACTCGGTAATACCTACGTCGCTTGATTTGGTGAGCTCTTTGATCTAGGTGGTTGTCAGCAGTGACCACGACACATACTCCTTGATACAAACTTTTTCGTCCTTTGCTTTTTCGTCTTTCTTATCTTCTTCCTCTTCGTTACTCTTGGTCTCTTTATCTTTGTCCTTATCCTTTGCTTTCCGCTTCTCTTTCTTGATTCTCTGCTTCTCTTCGTACTCCTTTTTGACCTTCTCAATCTCGCGATCCATCTCTTCTTTCTTCTTGCGCTCAGTCATCTCCTTGACTTCATCTGCATCTGGCTGGCAAAAGCCGCGGTCTGAAAGATGGCCGATGCATACATAGAAGAAGTCCTGAACGCAGATGAACAACAGATCAGATCGAACATCTCTTGTCATACCTTGTTGTTCGGTGTGATGAGGACGCTTGAGGTAGGCTTATAGCAGATGTTGCAAGGCTTAGTCGCGTCTTCTGCGACCTTCCTGTGGTGCCAGGTGTTCTCAAATGGTGCTTTCGACATGGTGAAGATCAATGCGTGACCTCAGCGCCGCAGACTGATGCAATCGAGCCGCGCTCGGATCAGAGCCGAACGTATACGTGTCGTGTGCAGGGTTGACGGCGTGTGATCTCAGCAACGATACAGACTCGGAGGTTCAGTCTTCACAGTTTGGCGACGAGAATGGTACCGCGTGTCGAACGACCGAAGGCTAAGAGGAGAGGCTGAAGCTAGTCTTGATCGAGCCTGGTCTGGGTCGCCTTCCACTTCGAACATGACGCAGTCTACAAATCTTCAATCAACACATATGTTTTCAAGAGCTTTGCGCGCGCAGAGATTTTATAGCAACGGCTCTAAATTAACTCCATCCACGCTGCTGCCTAGGCTATTCTCACCATTAGCAAGCCTGAGGCACAATTCTTCAAGTCCAACATACTGCCCGGGTGCCCTTCTGTCCAAGTACTAACGCTTACAAGAAGCTTTCTCCTCCAGCCAAACTAGACTCACCAGATCGACCACGATGGCAGAAGAACTCAGTAAACTGCGCTACATCGATATCGGGATAAACTTCACCGACCCTATATTCCGAGGCATCTACCACGACAAGCAGCGCCACGACGACGACTTCGAAGACATCATCCAGCGCGCCCTCGACGCCGGCTGCAAGAAGTTCATGGTCACCGGCTCCGATCTCGCGGAATCCAAACACGCTCTCGAAATCTCAAAAGCGCATCCGGGACTCTGCTACGCAACTATCGGCGTGCACCCCTGCTCAGCAAAGCAATTCGATGATTTCCCAGGCGGCCCAGCGAAGTTGCTGAGCGAACTGAAAGAGCTGGCGATCCAGGCGAAAGAGGAGGGTACTGCGGTTGCGTATGGCGAATTTGGACTCGATTACGATCGGCTGTTTTTGACGCCCAAGGAGCAGCAGCTCAAGTACTTTGAGCTGCAGCTGGAGATTGCGGTTGAGGTGCAATTACCGCTGTTTCTGCATTCGAGGGCGGCGAGTGAGGACTTTGAGAGGTTGCTTAAGGCGAAGCTGGAGCAGTTGCCGAAGAGGGGGCTGGTGCATAGCTTTACGGGGACCGTGGAGGAGATGCAGAGACTGGTGGAGCTGGGATTTGATATCGGGGTCAATGGGTGTAGTATGAAGAGTAAGTCCTCGGCGCATTCGGCTTAAGTGGCTGCTGACTCGTTGCAGCGGATGAGAACATCGATGTTGTGAGGCAGATACCGCTTGAGCGGTTGCAGATCGAAACGGACGGACCGTGGGTAAGTACAATGTTCCTTGATCATATTTCTTGTCTAACGACTGCACAGTGCGAGATGAGGCCTAGTCATGCATCGGCTAAGTTCCTCAAGGACGCCCCGCCTCTGCCCAAGGCTGTCAAGAAGGAGAAATTTGTCAAGGGCTCCATGGTCAAGGGGCGGAATGAGCCTGCCACGATCCCGCATGTAGCGTACGCGATCGCGCAGATCAAGGGTATCGCCGTGGAAGAGGTGTGCAATGCGGCGTGGAACAATTCCATCAATATGTTTGGCCTTGGTGAGTCTGCATAGCGTCGTTGCTTCAACGTGCATATAGAGAACATAGAGCATGTAGAGGTTCCTTCACAGGATTCAATGGCGATCCCAAGTGACGTGCAATGTGTTGTACTGAAGTTGATTTGTACAGACAAAAGAAAATGTGGCTCTGGCCCGCATGCAAAATGACTTTCCTGTTCCCATCCCGGTACACATGCACTCTACTTCCTGTACCACATCCTTGTGATCTTGGTATGCCTCATCTTCTTCTGCAGCTGGAAGATGCCGTACATGAGCGCTTCGGCGGTGGGCGGGCACCCGGGCACATAGATGTCGACGGGCACGATCCTGTCGCATCCTCTTGTGACCGAGTAGCTGTAGTGATAGTAGCCTCCTCCGTTCGCACAGCTGCCCATGGAGATGACCCATCGAGGGTCAGGCATCTGGTCGTACACCTGTCGCAGCGCTGGGGCCATCTTGTTTGTGAGGGTTCCGGCAACGATCATGACATCAGACTGACGAGGGGAGGCACGGAAAATGATACCGAGGCGATCCTGGTCGTATCGAGGAGTGGACAAGTGCATCATCTCGACGGCGCAGCAGGCGAGACCGAAAGTCATGGGCCAGAGGGAGCTCTGACGGGCCCAGTTGGCGACTTGGTCGAGAGTGGTCCTGTTCCAGCGCGTTAGCCACTGTTGCCACGCTGATCTGTCCTCTCCTCTCCTTTGTTCCAGGACCGCACGTACAGCGCATATTGCATGGCACCCTTCTTTCCCTCCTGGCTGGGCAGTGGCACTTCGCGGCGCGCCTGCTTCATCGGGGGCGGTGCGCCGGGGTTGCCCTTGATGGTGGCGGGGCTGCTCATCGTCGTCGCATTGTTGGAGGAGCTCGAGGACAAGAACGCAGCGCTGCCGGCGCGGAATGGCAGCAGGGCTGTTGCGGGTTTGGCTGGCCAGAAATTAGCTCCGGGGCAACGGTAGCGTTCGAGCGGGCGGCGACTGACCTCGCAGAGCCATTGAGGCACCGTACCGTGTTGTCGACAGCATGTTGGCGACGGGTATCAAAGAGCGAGTCCGGTGGAGGAGTGGAGAGGCGGGCGTGGGGTGGCGTTTGGGGATGGCAGTCGCGATGAAGTCAATGATCGTGCCTCGCCAAGCGTCGATTAGCTAGCCGCTTTTAGGAGCCATCTGATAGGCCGGACATGCGCATCGCTCCTCACCATCGCCTGTTCGGTCTACCCCGGCGAGACCGCATCACCAAAGCCGTGACAGTCCCAGGGTCCAGTGACATCGGTCAGGATACACCAGAAATAGTTGATGCAGAGCAGAGATGGCGGGCAAGGTACCTTCGATATGCTGTATTGGCTACATCGGCAAGCATGTACGTGTCACGTCACGGGGTATCCTCTTCAAGAACGGGATGTGTATGCACACCATGCAACGAGCTGACTGGAACCTTAGAACAACCCGTTGCACATCTCGCTCTTCCCGGCAGGAGAAAGAGCGCCTCTAGAATTCCAGTTCCTTCTCTCGTCGTGTCTGGATATCTTCGAGGCTCGACTTCCCTTCAAGACAGCAGACCAGGACTTTGGGCTCCTGCAGGCAGTTGATGAAAGACTGGCTATGTACGGCTGGCTGACCAACACTGGCGTCAAGATCGTGGTCGTGGTCGATATGGAGGGCAGACCAGCAACAGCATTGGACAGCAAGGCAGCAACAGCAGTGGGACTACGAGACGCAGATCTCAAGCCTGTAAGTCTGTCGAAACCCCCAAATTGTGCCACACTCACTTTCATCAGGCTTTCAGAGCGTTGCAGACAGCATACATAAAGCTGCTGCGGAATCCGTTCTACAACCCGGACGAGCACTCACCAGTCACAGCCAATACGGAACAAAAGATTGGCTCCACACAAATCACCAGCCGGAGTTTTATTCAGGAAGTAAAGCGAATAGCAGAAGCATGGGTCCCAGGCATTACCAACCTATGAGTTCCCGATAACCACCATCACGATACCAGGATACCACAGCATGAGACGGCGTTGGGCGTACGGGAAGACTGCCATAGAAGCATCAGCAATTGAAGTTGTATACAATACACCGACTCTCGCGGACCCCAACGACGAAACCGTCGTTCTCGATTATGAGATCGAACGCGCTAATGTCCAAATCAGGCTAGTTCGATCTCTCTGCACCTCGGGTTGCAGACAAACGCTCGCAGCATCAATCATTCCTTTCCCATGTCGATCAAATGCCTCCTCATGGATCAAGTGTCACAATTACCAACCCACTGGTCCTGTACAGAAGTCTCATAGCAACACAGCAAATTCGGCCTGACCCGGGACAACATCGGTTGGCCTGTATGACGTCTACCATTCGGCGCGCGCCAAGACAAGGTACATGGACTGACCAAATCAACAGTGCATCTACAGAAGCTGTACGACCAACTCATAGACTATGAACCGAGTGTGGAATACTCCAAACGTCTCGGGCAACTCACCCGCGCCGTCAATGCCGGCCAAGACGTGCCGCCACCGCCCTCGACGGCTGCTGCCGAGCTCGGCAGCTTCGACCGCAGCTGGATATGGAAGACGCTCGTGAACCAGAAAGAAGCCCGCGACTCGCGGGCGCTGACCAGAGTACTGACCGACCACGACCAAGCAATGGCTCTGCAGAGTCCCAGGGGCCTCATGCTGCACGGCGAAGTCGGCACGGGCAAATCCATGCTCATCGACCTGTTCCAGGAAAGCCTGCCCAACCGCAAGAAGAAGCGCTGGCACTTTGACACGTTTATGCTGCACACGATTTCGAGACTGGAGCAGCTGAGGAAATCGAGGGCGCTGACGCGAGCCGCGGATGGGCGGGACGAGTACAGCCTGTTGCTTGTTGCGCGCGATCTCATCGAGACCAGCCCGATCCTGTTCCTGGATGAGTTTCAGTTCCCGGACCGCGTGGCGAGTAAGATCCTGTCGAATCTGATGACGAGCTTCTTTCAGCTTGGCGGCGTGCTGATCGCAACGAGCAATCGCATGCCGGACGAGCTGGCCAAGGCTGCGGGTGTAGAGTTTGCGAGGCCGGCGCCGGGGGGTGCATTCAGCAAGCTGGGGTGGGCGAGTCGCGTGCCCGGTTTCGGCGTGAGGGATTCAGGGGCTGGGCAGAAGGGCGAGTTCTTCCAGTTCCTGGAGCTGCTGAAGGCGAGGTGCGAGGTGTGGGAGATGGAGGGTAAGAAGGACTACCGGAAGCTTGAGATTGAGGAGGGCGGCGGCGTGGAGACGTCGACCTCTGCATCCGACGCTGTTTCGATGGCGACTGCAGGGCTTCCAGCCACGGGCCAGTCCGAGACGCCAGAACCATTGTCTGTTGATGCTACGCTGCCAAAGAACTATCTCATCCAGCCTACCACCGTTGAGGAGATGACGACGTTTGCCGAGTCGTTCAACGCCCTCATCGAGCGCGCGACTTTGCACCCCTACCCCATCCCCTGGACGCCCGCGACACTGACAGTCTACGGGCGGACAGTCGACATCCCCGCGCAGCACAACGGCGTCGCATTCTTCACGTTTGACGAGCTCTGCGGCGCCGTGCTGGGGCCCGCAGACTACGTCTCCCTCGCGTCGAGCTTCCACACCTTCATCGTAACCGACGTGCCGGTGCTGACGTTCCTGCGCAAGCACGAAGCGCGGCGGATGATCACGCTGCTCGACGCGCTGTACGAAGCGCGGTGCCGGCTGCTGATGACGGCCGCCGCAGGCCCAGAGGACACGTTCTTCCCTGCACCCCGCGGCGAGACGGGCGAGGAAGTGGTCGACGACGCCGTCTACCCAGAGACGTACTCGGAGATCCACCAAGACCTGACCTCCCCCTTCCGGCCCAACATCTCCTCGTACGGCACAAATTCGCGCGCGATGCCCGACGACGCGCTCGAAGACGACCCGCCGAATCGCGCGCGCCGCCAGGCCGGCCTATCGCAATCCGACTACGGCGACGAGGAGGCGCGGACGCGCGCGAGCATGGCGAGCTCCGGGAAGAAACCCGACTTCGCCAACGTCCGCGGGCTGACGGGCGAAGACGAGGTGTTTGCGGTCAAGCGCGCGCAGAGCCGCATCTGGGAGATGTGCTCGGCGCGCTGGTGGAGCCGGAGCGCTGTCCCTGCGTCGTCGGCGGCGGCGGAAGGGGAAGGGGGCACCGATGCAGCGACGCAGGGGTGGTGGAGGCCGCTGAGCAAGGAGAGCAGGCACTGGGAACGCTCGGCCGCGCGCGCGCCAGCAGCAGTCCCAATACCACCCAACACAGCCCAGCTACCCGCCGCGACGGAGATCAGGCTCCAGCAGGACCGTGTCGAGGTCGAGAGGGAGAAGCCCGTGCGCCCCGCGGAGGAGTGGAGCAGCACGCCCGGCGTGCCCAAGGACAACGACGTCTTCAGCGACGAGGAGCTGGAGCGCATGTTCCGGCACGGCGCGAGTCCGTTTCGCTCGACCAGCGATGCGCCGCCCAAGTTTGGCGCGGCGCATGCGTGGGGCGTCACGACGTGGGGGAAGAAGGCTGGCGCGTGGGGGAAGGGGGTGGAGGGGTTGAAGGAGCGGAGGAAGGAGGAGAAGGAGGAGAAGGAGGAGAAGGAGGAGAAGGAGGAGAAGGAGGAGAAGGAGGAGAAGGAGGAGAAGGAGGAGAAGGAGGAGAAGGAGGAGAAAAAAGAGGAGAAAAAAGAGGAGAAAAAAGAGGAGAAGATGGAGAAGAAGTTGGAGGAGGAGCTGAAGGACGATGTTGCAGAGGAAGAGGGGAAGAGCGCGGATGAGGCGCAGGCGAGCGCGAAGACGAGCACGGGGGACAAGGTGCCGTGGACGCCGTCGTAGATTGTACCATGGTTTGATGCTCGTTGAAGTGCTTGAAGTGCTTGCAGTGTTTAAAGTGCTTGAAGTGCTTAAAGTGCTTGCAGTGTTTAAAGTGCTTAAAGTGCTTAAAGTGCTTGCAGTGTTTAAAGTGCTTGAAGTGCTTGCAGTGTTTAAAGTGCTTAAAGTGCTTGCAGTGTTTGAAGTGCTTGAAGTGCTTGCAGTGTTTGAAGTGCTTGAAGTGCTTGCAGTGCTTGATGTGCTTGAAGTGCTTGAAGTGCTTGCAGTGTTTGAAGTGCTTGAAGTGCTTAATGTGCTTGCAGTGTTTGAAGTGCTTGAAGTGCTTGATGTGGTTGCAGTGTTTGAAGTGCTTGATGTGGTTGCAGTGTTTGAAGTGCTTAATGTGCTTGATGTGCTTGATGTGCTTGAAGTGCTCGATGTGCTTGAAGTGCTCGATGTGCTTGAAGTGCTTGCAGTGCTTGCAGTGCTTGCAGTGCTTGACGTGCTTGCAATGCCGTACACCGTCGCATACTCTACAACAACTTGTCGCATACTCTACAACAACTTGATGCGGTTCACCGTGCTTGCGCATGCACATCCCTCGCTACTCAAACCACGGGTCCAGTCACTGGATCCTGCCCCTGTTCACGACAAAGGCCTCGAGCACGGCCAGCGCAGACCACAGCCTGTTCTCGGCCTCGCGGAAGACGAGCGAGCGCGGCCCGTAGAAGACGTCGTCGCTGACCTCCTCCGGGTGGCGGGGCAGGCAGTGCATAAACGCCCACTTGTCCTTTGCACCTGCGCGCGCGGCCAGCTCGTCCGTGATCTGGAAGCCGGCAAAGTCCCGGATGCGCTTCGCCGACTCGTCCTCCTGCCCCATCGACACCCACGTGTCGGTGACGAGCACGTCGGCACCCCGGGCGGCCTCCTCGGGCACGGTGGTCTCGACGAGGCGGCCGGGCCGCGGCGACGTAGCGGCGGCGTGCAAAACAACGTCGCGCATGGGCTGGGGCATCTCGTAGCCGCGGGGCGTGGCGACGCTGATGTCGATGCCCAGCTTGACGCAGCCAATCGCCAGGTCGAACAGCACGTTGTTCGCGTCGCCGATCCAGGCGACCTTGAGCCCCTCCAGGCCCAGCGAGGCCGGCGACGCGCTCGGGTGCGACTCGGCGATTGTGAGCAGGTCGGCGACAATCTGCATCGGGTGGTACGCGTCGGAGAGCGCGTTGATGACGGGCACGGCGCTGTGCTGCGCGAGGGTCGCGACGTCGCTGTGGGGCCCGACGCGCGCGACAATGGCCGCCGTCATGGACGAGAGCACGAGCGACGTGTCGTAGAGGGACTCGTTGACCTGCGCCGTGTTAGCGCGCGCTCACGCCCGGGCGGGCGGCTGGAGGGAGACGGACGCCCAGCTGGATGTCGTCCTTGCCCAGGAACATCGGGGCGGCGCCGAGGGCGGCAATGGCGCCCTCGGTCGAGACGCGCGTGCGGGTGCTGCGCTTGCTGAAGGTCATGGCGACGGTGCGGCCGGCGAGCGACTGGCGCAGCGCGAGCGGCACTTCGCCAGTCGCCTTGATGCGCTGCTTGTGGGCGTCGGCATTGCGGACGAGCGTGGTCAGCTCCGCGGGCGAGAGGTCGGCAATGGACAGCAGATGGCGCGGCGCAGAGCGCGACGTCTGCGCGCTGCTCGCGGGAACGTACGTCGACAGGCTGTAGCTGCGGCGTCGGAGCGGGTTGTTGAGCCTGCGCGCGGCCGTTGTCGCAGGGCGGAGGGCGAGCGTCGCGGGGCGGAGGGCGAGCATGGCGGGCCGGATTGCCGTGGCAGAGCTGAGGCGGGCGGATGGGAGCGTCATGGACGTTGCTGCAGAGCTGCACAGTCGCGCATGGCCGCGCGCCCCGTCTGTGTCACCCAGCAGGAAGTTTTTGGGCCGAGTCGGGCCACGGGTCCGCGCTAGGCCCCAGACTGCGGTGCGTCAGCGATAAGCCGCGCTGGTGGGCAGCGCCCGCGTAGCTGAGCGCCGTGCAGACGTGCAGACGTGCAGACGTCAAGACACAGCAGTCGGCGCTCTTCCTGCCCTCGACGCCTGCAGCCTGCTCGCACCTCCGACGGCCTCCAGCAGAGGAGCATCTGAGCTGCTTCCCGACGGCCTCCCAGCAGAGGGACACCTGAGCTTCCCGACGCCCACCGCACGCCATGGACTCGCCCGACGGCCCATGGGGCTCGACCCGCACGTCCAGCTCGCGCCCGGCATCGCACCAGTCGCGCCGCACCACCGAGCAGACGCCGCTGCTGGCCAACGAGGACCGCAGCGACCGCGACGACCACGACCGCGACGATGACGACCGCGACGATGACGACCACGACCGCGACCCCGACGACGACGACCACAGCGACGACGACCACAGCGACGACGCCCGCGGCTCGCCCGCGCAGACCCGCCTGCTGCGATCGCTGAGCGCATCGTCTGGCAGCGGCAAGACGCCCGCCTGGAAGCGCCGATGGCCGAGCATACTGGCGCTGGTGGCGCTGTGCCTCGTCGCCGTCGGCATCATGCTCGGCTTCCTGGCCAGCGAGGGCATCGACGAGTACGCCATGCAGGCCGTCGGCTTCACGCCCACCATGCTGGCCCTCGACGGCCTGACTGCCCACGGCGCCCGCGTGCGCATCGAGGGCGACTTCTCCATGGACGCGTCGCGCGTCAAGAAGCAGGGCGTGCGCAACATGGGCCGCCTGGGCACCTGGTTCGCCCGAGAGGCTGAGACGGGCCCGGTCGAGGCCGACGTCTACCTGCCCGACTACGGCGACGTGCTGGTCGGCACCGCCAGCATTCCCGGCGTCAGGGTCGACATCAGGAACGGCCACACCACGCACATCTCCCTGGTGGCCACTGTCGCGCCCGGCTCCAGCGAGGGCATCCGCAGTGTCGCGCACGACTACCTCGATGGCCGCCTGAAGCAGATCCGCGTCCGCGGCAAGGCCAGTGTGCCGATCCGCTCTGGCATAATCAACCTCGGCAGGCAGACTGTCGAGCACGCACTCGTCTTGCACAGCGGCGACGTCCCGGGCCTGCCCAAGTACAACGTGACGCGGCTGACCCTCCGAGAAGCCGGCCACGGACGCACGGGCCTGGGCGCCTCCGCCTCCATCCTCGTCGAGAACAGCTTCCCTCCCGTGTCGGTCAACGTCCCTCCCGTAGCGGTGGATGTCCTGATCGGCGGCTGCGCGCCCTCGGACAGCCACCTCAAGGTCGGCACTGCCGAGACGCCCGAGCTGCACGTCCGGCCGCAGACCGACGTCAGCGTCAACGTCACCGGCCACGTCGAGAAGATGGCCGACCCGCTGACCCAAGTCTGCCCCGACTCGGCAAAGTCGCCTCTCGACGCCTTCATCGGTGACTACATGAGCGGCGACGACGCCACCGTCTACATCAACTGCTGCAGGTTCCCGGACCCCGCCACCCCCGACTGGGCCCGCCATGTCCTCCGGGACATGACGGTGGCCGTGCCTTTTGGCGGAAGGGAGATGGGCAGCCTGGTCAAGAACTTCTCCATGGCCAACATGCACTTCTCTCTGCCCAGTCCCTGGGCGGAGCCGGGCACGCCAGAGGCCAACCCCTCCATCTCAGCGACGGTCAAGGTCGACATTGGGCTGCCAAGCGAGATGAAGTTCCCCCTGGACGTCAACCAGATCAAGGCCGATGCCGACATCTTCTACAAGGAGAAGCTGCTCGGCAAGATGAAGCTGGACAAGTGGCAGCGCGCCAACTCGACCAGGATCGAAGCCCACGGCGGCGGCGGTCCCTCGCTGCTGGTGCAGTCTGAGATTGAAAAGGCGCCAATCGAGATCCAGGACGACGACTTGTTCAGCGAGGTCGTGCAGGCCCTCATCTTCGGCGGGAAGCCAATCAACATGGACATGAAGGCCGCTGTTGACGTTGGCCTCGACACCCCCATGGGCAAGCTTGCGGTCCGGGGCATCCCCGCCCACGGTACCGTGCCTGTCAAACGTTAGTCGTCACCTAGTTCGTGATCCTTGCGTTTCCCGCCTGGCAACTGCTAACGTCTCCCGGTCCAGCGATTGGCCGCGGCAAAGACCACAACGGCACAGACGGCGGCGGCGGGGCCCCGTCCATGATGGACCGCCTGCACCTAAAGGTTGGCGACATGGCCATTGTGGGTACTTCGCCCACCTCCATCACCCTCCAGATCAAGTCCAACTTCACCAATCCCACAAACTACACCGCAACTGTCCCCTACTTGAACATCAACGTCCTCGTAAACGGGACCCTCGTCGGCTCGGCCACGGTCGAGAACAGCACCGTCCGCCCCGGCAACAACTCGGGCACCCTCGTCACCGTGCTCTGGGACCCGTACGGCTGCGGCGGCGCAGACGGCAAGGCCGTCGGCGCAGAGTGGCTCTCGCAGTTCATCTCAGGTACACTATCCGCCCCAGCCTTGCACCCGCACACCTAACCAGCCCAGGCTTCAACGTCTCGCTCACAATGCAGGCCCACAACGGCACCATCCCCACCCAGCCCGCGCTCGGCCACCTGCTCAGCCGATTCCCCATCACCGTCCCCGCACCGCACATGTCGGCCGGCGACCCGTCCGACGACCCGTCCGACGACCCCGCCGCGCCGCCCTCGGACGGAAAGCAGCACTTTATCCGCTCCGCCACAATGCACATACTCTCCTCCACCGCGCTCTTCACGCTCTTCTCCCCCTTTAGATCAACGACAATGTACCTCACCTCCCTGAACGCAACGGCCTTTTACGACGGCCACGAGGCCGGCAAGATCCTGTACGGCCTGCCGTTTGCCGTGCCGCCGGGCCTGTCGGAGAGCCCGCGGCTCCCTGTCGACTGGAGCTTTGGCAGTCTGGGGTACGAGGCTATCCGCAAGGCCCTCGGCGGACAGCTGAAGCTCAGTGCGTTTGCGATTGTGGGCGTGCGGATTGGGGAGTGGCGCGAGACGATTTGGTACAAGGGTGGCAAGATTGGCGCCAATGTCAGGCTGTGATGCGTGTGGGTGTGTTTGTGGGTGTGTTTGTGTGGGTGTGGGTGTGTGGGTGTGTTTGTGTGGGTGTGTGTTTGTGTGGGTGTGTATGTATATATTCTCCAGACGGCGTGGTGGCGTCTGGATGCTGGTGTTGCGCGTGGGGGCGCGGTTCTTTGTAGTTATTCAGCTTGTTTTTCTTCGCGTCGATGAATGTGTCGTTGACATTGTACGGGCCGGGGTCGGCTCGTCCTGACGAGACACTGACGAATGCGTGGCCTTGTGGACTCTCTTGAAGACTCTATTGTCTGCAAGCGACTCATTGTCTGCAAGCGACTCTACTGTCTGCAAGCGACTC